ACTTTTTGCTTTGGAGATATATATATATATATATATTTTTTTTTTCAGTCCTTTTATCACTTTAGATTTAACAGTCTTAAGTCACTTCTAAAGTTTTTATCTTTTGTGTAAAAGTTGTTTCTCTCTGTCTGTGTGCTAATCAACCTAAGCATGTTACTGTATTTGTAAAGTAAAGACAGTATTGTTCTTGGTGGTAGCTGTTGATACGAATACTCTGGCATTTCCAAGGCCTGTCATCCTTGCATACTTGGTGATTCAGACAAATCTTTTTTTTAGCTGTTGAATTTAATTATACCCATTATATTCCTTGTTATTTAGTCAAATATAGTTTGTGATAGTGATTGCTGGTTCTAATGCATGATTAGGAGCTTCATTTGTATAGTCTAACCATGTTACTAACTCCATTTGATAATTTCTTCACTAAAACCATTATAAAGAGCTATCAATTAATAATGACGGCTAGCATTTACATAGTGTGTTATTAGGGTTTGCAAAGTGCTTTTCAAATACCATGTCATTTTACTCTCACAACAACTCTGGGAAATCGGTGGTATTATGATAATCGTTTTACAGTTAAGGAAACTGAAACAAGCAAGTTAAATGACCAAGGTCACACAGCTGTTAATTGTGTGAACCTGGATTTGAACTCCATTCTTTCTGACTTCAGGTCCAATGCTCTATCTACCTCTAATCCTCTGTGCCACCTAGCTGCCTATGTTAAGTCAGTATCAATTGAGGAAGCATCTATTAGAAGCTAGATACTGCCAGACTACTGGTCTTCAAAGTGAGTACCATAGTGTGACCTCAAGTGGTGTAAGATAATCCCGCTGAAGGACAGGAAGATAGACTGCATCCCACCTTCCCCACAGTGTGCAGTTGTGGGGCTCTTCTCCCTAACGACCACAAGTATCCTTCACTCATTATGGCCTAGTACCTTCCTCCTATTCCTCATTCTACAGTTTGGCATGTGTCTGATCTCTCTGCCCTTCTCCAAGCTCCGTGGAGGTGTTTAATCCATTGCTTCCCTTGATATTCTTAACCTTTTGTTCTTCCAGATGAATTTTCTTCTTATTTTTTTCTAGGTCCATAAAATAATTCTTTGGTAGATGAATTGGTATGACACTGAATAAGTAAATTCACTTAAGTAGAGTTGTCATTTTGATTATATTGGCTCAGCCTACCCACAAGCAATTAATATTTCTCTTATTGTTTATATGTCTTTATTTCTATGAAAAATGTTTTGTAATTGTGGTTGTATTTTTTGCCTTGGCAGGCAGACTTACAAGTGTTTTATATTATGTTCTGTTATTTTTAATGGAATTTCTCTTCCAATTTCTTTCTGCTGGGCTTTGTTGGTAGTATATAGAAATGCTGATGATTTATGTGGATTTATTTTATATTCAGTAACTTTGTTGAAGTTGCTAATTGTTTCAACTAGGATTCTTTAAGTAAATAGATCATTATATCACCTGCAAAGAGTGATAGTTTTGTTTCCTCACTGCCTATTTTTATTCCTCCAATTTCTTTTTCTTATCTTATTGCTATAGGTAACCTTTCTACTACAATATTGAATAATAGTGGTGATAATGGACATCCTTACTTTACCCCCGGTCTTATTGGGAAGGCTTTACATCTCTGTTGCAGATAATGCTTACTTTTGATTTTAGATAGATAATACCTATCGTTGTAAGAAAGGCTCTGTTGATTCCTATGCTAGAACACTAGAAAAACTAGTCTGAAACTATTCTGAAAAGGGGGCATTTAATATTTCTGCTCTTCCACATTTGTTGTGAGCTTTTTATGCTCTAATTCATGGTCAGTTTTTGTGAAGGTGCCATGAGCAATTGAAGGAAAAAATGGTGTACTCTTTTCTGTGCCATTCAGTTTTTTCCAGAGATATATCATTTCTAATTTTTTAGAGATTCTCTTTATCTCCTTCACTTTTTTTTTCTTATTTATTTTATGCTTAGATTTATGTAGCTCTGATAGAGGAAGGTTGAGGTACTTCATTAGTATAGTTTTACTGTCTATTTTTTCCTGTAATCCATTTAACTTTTCCTTTACGAAGTTGGATGCTGTGCCATTTGGTGCGTATATGTTTAGTATTTACTTCATTATCTATGGTTCCTTTTAGCAAGATGTAGTTTCCCTGCTTACCCCTTTAATTTATTAGGTCTGTTTTTGCTTTTGGTTTGTTTGAGATCATGATTGTTATTCCTGCCTTTATTTACTCCAGCTGATGCATAACAGATTCTGCTCCAGACTCTTGTCAGATGTGTTTCTTGTATACAACATATTGTTAGATTCTGGTTTCTAATCCATTCTACTGTCTGCTTCCATTATATGAGTGAGTTAATCCCATTTACATTCACAATTTATTAACTGTGCATTTCCTGTTTTCTTCTGTTTGTCCTTCTCTCTCTCTTTTCTCTGTCCTTCCTCTAAAGTCTGTTTTGCTTCTGACCACTGCCTTCTTTTATCTGCCCTTCCTTTTATCACTCCTTTCTCTTATCCTCTTGCCCTCCTACTTCTCTGTTGGGTAAAATAGATTTGTATTACCAGTTGAGTATGTATGTTTTTTTCCTCTTTAAACCAATTTAGATGTGAGGTTCAAGCATTGCTGGCTGCACCCCTCCCTCATATTTTCCCCTCCACTGTGAAAAAACTCTTCCTTGCACACCTCTTTTATGTGAGATAATTTTCCTCCTTCTCCAAGGGGGTTCTCACCTATCCATTTATTTTTATATCATCCTAATATAATTACCTCTGCTGTCATAATGATAAAATTCTTAGGAGTTACATGTATCATCTTCTCATATAGGAATATGAACAGTTTAACCTTATTGAGTCTCTTATGATTTCTTTTTCATGTTTTTTTTTTTATGCTTCTTTTAAATTTTGTGTTTGAATGTCAGGTTTTTTTTTTCCCACCTCTAGTCTTTTCATCAGGAGTGCTTGAAAGTCATAGATTTCATTAAATATCCATTTTTCTCCCTGAAAGATTATACTTAGTTTTGCTGGGTAGGCTATCCTTGGTTGTGATCCCTGTTTTTTTGCCCTCCAGAATATCATATTCTAAGCTATTTACTCCTTTAATATGGTAGCTGCTAAATCTTTTGTGATCCTAGTTGTAGCTCCACAATATTTGAATGATCTTTTTCTGACTGCTTGGAGTATTTTCTCTTTGGCCTGGGAACTACTGAATTTGACTGTAATATTCGTGGGAGTTTTTGTTTTTGGATTTCTTTCAGGTGACTGACGGATTCTTTCAGTTTCTGTTTTACCCTCTGGATCTAAGATGTCAGGGCAGTTTTCCTTGATGATTTATTGAAATGTGATGTCTAGTCTCTTTCTTTGATCATCTATCCTTGATTTGTTTTCCAGATCAGTTTGTTTTTCTAATGAGATATTTCTCATTTTCTTCTATTTTTTTCCGTTCTTTTGATTTTGTTTTGTTTCTTAATGTCAGATAAAGTCATTATCTTCCACTTGCCTAATTCTGATTTTTAAGGAAGTATTTTCTTTAGTGAGCTTTTGTACCTCTTTTTCCATTAGGTTAATTCTGTTTTTTAAGGTGTTACTTTTTTCAGTATATTTTATGCCTCTTTTGACAAGCTATTTTATTTACATAATTTTCTTTCTTTTTTTTTCACCTAATTTTCTTCTCTCTCATCCTGATTTGATTTTTAAAATAATTTTTTAATCTCTCCTAGGAATTCTTGTTGGGCATATATCCAGTTCACATTTCTCTTTGAGGCTTTACTTATGACTGTTTTGACTTCATTGTCTTCTGAGTTTATGTCTGTATCTTCACTGTCAGCATTGTAACTTTTTATGTGAGTCAGGCAGTTTTTTGTTTGTTTGCTCACTTTTCTCCTGTGTTTCTCGATATGGAACTTTATGTTGCTGTTGAGTTCTGTACCTAGAATGGAGGTGGTGAAGTAGAGGGGCACTGTCTCAGGCTTCAGGCTTTTTCCTCACTGGTGTTTTTAGAGCTGGTTCGGGGGTGGGGCGGAGGTTTCGGTGTTTCCAAGTTGGTGTGGTGATTGCTCTCCTGGTCTCTGGTCCTTATCTAGGAAAGGCCCCTGATCCTTTGGGGCCAGAAGTTATACTGCCCCTCAGAGTTTCCACCCCTTTGTGATCAGAAGTGCTCTTCTGTGCCCCTGAAGCTGTGACTCAGAAGTAGGTATAGGTAATAGGGTTGCCAGACAGCATCTGGTCCCATGTCCAGTGCTAGCAAAGGGGTATCCTGTGATCTCTTTCCTCTTACCAGATCACTTTTACTACCTCTGGCTGGAGAACTTCCAAAATAATAAAATAAAAGTAAATAAAAAATAAAACTGATGTTTTATTCACATGGGCTCTGGCCCAGCTTCCTCCGCTGTGTCACAGATCTCTCCTACCTGCTATAATGTCTTGGGTTGGAAGAATGTCTCACTTGGACTGTTTGTTGGCTCTGCCACTCCAGAATTCCATTTGAGATGTTATTTTAAAGTTGTTTGGAGGGGAATGTTGGGAAAGCTCAGCTGAACACTTTCTCTATTCCACCAACTTGGCTCTACCTCTGGAAGTCTAGGATTTTTTGTTTGGTTAGTTTGTTTTAACAGAAATAGGTGTTTTATTTTGTCAAGAATCCTTTTCTGCTCCTGTTGATATAATAGTTTTGTTGTTTTTATTATTGTGTTTAGTTATATTTATAGGTTGCCTAATATTAAATAGATTGTAAAATCTTAGTATTATATTGCTACAACTTTTTGGCTAATAATATTTAATTTTTTATATTAACATTCATTAGGAATGCTGGTCTGTAGTGTTTTTTTTCCCCACTGTTTTGTCTCCCTATTTTAGGTATTCAGACCATATTTGTATTATAAAATAAATTTGATAGGATCCCTTGTTTTGCCTTTTTTTTAAATTGCAGTTTGTATAATTTTGGAGTTAATTGTTGTTTTAATGTATTATGAAATTCACTTCTAAATTCATCTGTCCTAATTTTAAAGGTATCAGTTTTTGGAAGAAGCATTTCAAAACCAAAAGGGTGCAATTGAGAATTTATTAGCAAAACTTCTTGAAAAGAAGAATTATGTTCATTTTGCTGCAACTCAAGTGCAGAATAGGTAAGTTTATCATGTAGGGTCATATTTTACTCCTAATCAGATTATAAAATACATATCTGTGGTTTTATTGTGTTTTAGCATGTTTATGAATAAGCATGTTTTTGAATGTTGTGTTGTATTCTGAAATGAGAGCTGTCATCAGAGTTTTTAGGAGATAATAATACTAAGTAAGACATTTAGTTATATAACAAAAATCTTCATATTCCTTTAGAGAGTTTTATATTAGAAAATTACAAAGAAAAGCATGAGTCTGAAATCCATTTAAGAACTTCTTAAAATGCACTATTGTTACTAGCCTCCGACTGGGGAGAAAAGTATTGATGTAGTAGCCCACATATAAGACCATTTGAAAAGTCACTTCCTCTTGTTATTCTCCTAAAACATTAAGTATCATGGATGGGGAAGGGTTAACATATAGATTGGTTAAAAGGATTAGGACTTTATAGTGTGAGACAGTGAAAACCCAGAGTGAATTGGATCAAAACCTATAAAATTATAAGAGTATGAATAACGTGAGTATGGTGTTAAGCATGATCAGTTTATTAGGCTAGCAGCAACCAATAAATTGGATCAGTAGCCTCTCTAATTAACTAAAAACCATGAGGTGGGGCTTACTGGTTTTCATGAATGAGCAAAGAATACATTTAGGAAGACAGTGCTATTGGTTACAGAGTAGACAGCATCATGAGGGTGGGGACAGCATGATTGGTTACATCAAGGAAAGCAGGCTAGCACCTAAGTGGGTCTAGAAATCACTTATCTCTGTCATTAAAGAATACTTGATTATTTATTTTATTATTTCAACATTATTGGTTATTTATAGGACCCGTCAACAACCTGATGGTATTGTTAGTGGAGCAGGAATAGTAGACTTCCTGGCTCCTGGTTTGTTAGGGAAATAAAACACTTCCTAATTGTACAAGGATAGGCAAGGATGGACAACATAACAAACAGATGTCTTGGAATTTTTCCGGGAACTGAAGATATTTTAGATAACAGTTTTTACAATTAATTATAACTTTAACTCAGAGGGGAACCTGAATTCTTGAGCTCAACTCAAGGACATAGAAAGGGGTCTTAAGCAGATACAGAATCAATTACAATATGAAGTCAGTGCAATATAGGATCAGTTACAAAGTAGAATTTGGATTTCTCAGTGATTTTTTTCATCACATCCTGAAACTATAGGAAAAGGACCAACCCTTGAAATGGAATGTTTGTAAATTTAAAAGAAATGAAAGGAATAGTTTTCACAGTCTTTAGTAAATAAATGGGAACTGGCTGCCTACAGGTGATGATACAGGTTGAAACATTATAGGCCTTTGCAAGTTACATCCACTTTGTTCCTCATCTTTATCTTGTGCTTAGATTGGAAATTAAACAGACCGTATGACTAATAATGGCCATCTAACCTTTGCTTAGGAAACCCACAAATTCCTTAGGCAGGCCATTCTATTTTTGGATAGCTGTTAGTTGTTAGGAAGTTCTTCCTGATATTAAGGTAAATGATGCAGTCTAGTAATTTTCTCTCATTCTTCTAGTTCTGCATACCAGGCCAAGCAGAACAAGTTTAAACCCTCTTCCATATGATAATCCTTCATGGATATTTGAAGGATTTGAAGACTATCATGTCTCCCCTTAAATTTTTTTCTTTTGAGCTGAATATTTCAAAATTGTTTTAATTAAACTTCTGATGGCATGGTTTTGAGCCATTTAGTACTGCTTGCTTGCCTGACCATAAATATTCTTCTTCAAATATGTTGTCCAGAATGGAACACACTCACTCTGAGTACTACTCTTTTAATGCACTACTAAGTTCATAGTTCTTTTTTTTACCCTCCACAGTATGCTGTTGTATCACTGAACTTGAATTCTACTAAAATCCCAAAGTCTTTTTATCAGGTCGTCTACTTGTTTTCTAGCGAGGTCTATCATGTCCTATATTTGAGAGGTTTAATACCAGATTATTGTTTATGTTAGTGTTCATAGCTTGTATTTATATGATGCCTTTAGTTTTGCAGAACTCTATATGTGTTATCTCATTTGACATAGCAATTCTCTGATGTATGCCCTGATGTCCCTCCTACCCCCCTTTTTACAGATGAGGAAACTCAATCAGAAAAGTTAAATGAAAGATAGTCTTTGAAGAGGAATTAAAAACCCATCTTCCTGACTCCAAATCCACATCTCTCTACTATTAAACTCTAGATATTAGTGTGAATCATAATGACTTGAGCTGATTGCTGTCTAGGGAGAAGTGGCCGTTTACACAAGCGTTTATTTGGGGGTTTTTAAAGTTTCACTGTTAGCTATACTTTTGATATGTAAATTCATGAAGTTGTTTCAGATGGATACATAGTTAATTCATCTGCTTGTCTATACACACAGTTGGTATAAACCATTTAGACCGAATTGACTGGTCAGTTGTGCTAAAGCATTTGAGCTAGTTCCACATAATACAGGACTTAATTAAGCACCTGATTGAGTAAATTTCTGGATCATTGACTGATTCAGGGGATATAGGAGAAATTTGTAACCTAATGATGTATTTCTCTTATTCAGGATAAAAGAAGTAAATGAAACTAACAAACGAGTAGAACAGGAAATTAAAGTGGCCATTTTCACTCTCATCAATGAAATAAATAAGAAGGGCAAGTCTCTCTTACAACAGCTAGAGGTATGGTTTAAAGCTAAAAAAAAGTTTCTCTTGCTCATTCTTCAGCTGTTCCAGATGTTTATTAAAAGTTCTCATTAAACGTATTGGCAGTGTGAGGATAAAGGATGTACTTGTAATATGTAGGCAATAAATTCCTAGTACTTTAAATTTATTGGCTTTAAAGCATAAAGTAGAGAGAGACAGACATGCTCTGGGGCTGAAAAAGAGTGCTTATTTGAGTAGAGATTAGGTAAAATGTTAGACAAATTACTCTTCTAAAAAAAGAAAAGGCAAGTCTTTTAATATTCCTTGCTTCTGTGCCAGTGAGGGGCTTCAGCTGATTCTCTTTCATATGGAAGTATATTGGGTTTCATAATTTTGCTGGAGTCATTTGTAGTATTTCTTTTGACATCTTTTAAATTCTCAGTACTTCAATATAAAATGTAATTTTCCAAATTAATCTGTAAGTTTATCGTTATGTTGTGCCTTTGGTATCTTTAAGTATGTATTTCCAAATAGTAGTGTCCCACCTTTCAAATGTTTTTCTGATTGTGCATTCATAATCATTTGTTACTGTTATCCCAAGAGCAGATTAATATTCTGCATATTTCAAATATAACTTATGTACAGATTGAACTTCTTGCTCTAAATGCACAGGTAATAGATGACATTTTACTAAAATTGCCAGTACTTAGATTCAAATACTGACTCTCAAATTCCATTAATACTTACCTCTATGACAGGATTTCCCTCATCCTTGTCTCTATAGGACAAAATGGAGATATTTAACACAGTAAGATAAAATTGAAAGAATGGGGGAAATAGTTATTGTTGAAATCCTATATTTAGCATAATGGACTACCATGATGTTAGTGTTTTTAGCTTCTGTAGGGCTTAAGAAATTCTTTCTTTAAAACACAAACTTAAGGCCAGCCTCTACATTTTGATACCTTTTTTCCCCTACTGTGTACACATAACGGTCAGATGATGTTTGTAATGGACTTCAGGGTCAAAAAGTAATCACCATAAGCTTCAGAAGAAATGTTAGAATTCATCTAGCTAGCTAATTCCCTCATTTTTCCTGATAAGAAACTATAGGCTTAATGACTTTAAGTGACTTGACTAACATCTCATCACTAATTAGTCAATGGCAAGACCAAGACTAGAACCCCATGTACCTTGAGTCCTGTTCTGTTCTTTTTATTTATCTCTTTATTATTTGTAATGGGTAATAAATCTACCACGTAGCCTTCTCTTGTGGCTGTTATGATACATGTATTCCAACAAATTTGGGTGTAAAGTATACTTCTGTTTTTCTCTTTATTGTCTGCCAATAAATCAGACTTTATTATCCTAGGAAAAATTTCCCCAGTAGGCCAAGTTGAAACTTTTTGATGAGAAGTTTGTTAAGGTTAAATTGTGACAAACTGCTGGATGATTTTTTCCCCCTTTTTGGGGAGATGAATACAGAGAGCAAGAGTATATTTAAATGCTTCGTGAATAATAATCAATCCACAAGCATGGGTTAGATGTAGTGGAAAGAACACTGGTTCTTGCCCCAGCAGTAATTCCAGCTCTGCAACTTATTGCCTTGTGTTACCTTAGGTAAATCACTTAACCACACTGGGCCTCAGTTTCCATATCAATGAAATGGTCAGAGTTCAGTAGGTGATCTCTCAGGACCTTCCCAGCTCTAAGCCCTATGAATCAAGCCAGCTAGTTCTGCCAGCTGAATGTATTGTTCTCCAACAGACAGTTCATTTTTGCTTTGCATTATTTTCTCTACCCTTTGGGACTATCTGCCTAACCTGAAAATTCTCTAGCTCTGTACTTTTTTTTTTTTTTTTTTTTTTGCTTTTTGGTGAGGCAATTGGGGTTAAGTGGACTTGCCCAGGGTCAACACAGCTAGTAAGTGTTAAGTATCTGAGGCTGGATTTGAACTCAGGTCCTTCTGACTCCAAGGCCAGAGCTCTGTTCACTGCGCCACCTAGCTGCCCCTAGCTCTGTACTTTTCATTCTTGAAACTTGCCTTTTTGTGTGTGTGTGTGTGTGTGTGTGTGTGTGTGTGTGTGTGTGTGTGTGTGTGGCAATCGGGGTTAAGTGACTTGCCTAGGGTCACACAGTAAGTATCATGTGTCTGAGGCCGGATTTGAACTTAGGTTGTCCTGACTCCAGGGCCGGTGCTCTGTCCACTGTGCCACCTAGCTGCCCCTGAATCTTGCCTTTTTCCTTGCTATATGTACAACCTAATATAGTGAAATAATAATCATCCAAATTCACTAGTTGAAACTGACTAATCCGGTCTTCCAGTCTCAATAGGAACCTACCCTCCTTAATCAGTTCTTTATGTTCAAAACTTAATAGTGATAATAGTAATAATAAAACATAAAACATTATGCCATAAGATTTTCAAAGCACTTTCTACATATATATATATTCATTCTTATTTGTTCCTCACAAGAACCCAGTGAGATAAGTGCCTCAGCTGTTATACCTATTTTTCATTTGTGGAGACTGATGCTCTGAGAAGTCATGATTTCTGCAGACTTGCATAGGTAGTAGAAGTTTAAGGTGGGATTTGAACCCTGGTCTTCCTGGATTTGAGTCTAGCACTCTGTATACAAGGAAGGTGGGTAGAATATATGGGAGGGGAAAAAAAACCCAAACTATCTTAGTGATAGACTTTTGAATCTGTTCTACATGAAATATTCTAGATTACCACTTGTTTTCAATTTCAGCAGTACATTTTGCTGGTTATTGGCAGGTTTCTTAGTCTTGAATGATGTTTTTCAATTCATACCTATGTCAGTGAAGTATGTGGTATTATAAATGGCTTCTTGGGACAGGGCTGATTTTTTTTTTTCAGAGAAAATTCTTTAGGTGAGTTCCTCTTCTGTTGCAGAATGTTACCAAGGAAAGGCAGATGAAATTGATACAGCAGCAGAATGACATCACAGGACTTTCACGGCAAGTGAAGCATGTCATGAACTTCACCAACTGGGCCATCGCAAGTGGCAGCAGCACAGCATTGCTGTACAGCAAGCGACTGGTGAGGCTCTGGCGCCATGGGTGCTTCCCTGCTAGACTCTGTAGGCCCTGGCACTGCAGTCTGTGTACTGTGCTCGCTGCAGCGAGGCAGCATTCGTGCTGTGTCTGGGGTGTGTCTGGGTCTTTGTATCTCGGTCGTGTCTGTGTCTGTGTTGTGTCTGTGTCATGTCTCAGGGTCCAGACTAATGACCCTGCACTCTCTCCTCCAAGATTACTTTTCAGTTACGCCATATTTTGAAAGCCCGCTGTGATCCTGTTCCAGCTGCTAATGGAGCCATACGTTTCCATTGTGATCCTACCTTCTGGGCAAAGAATGTGGTCAATTTGGGTGAGGATTTTGTCAGTTTGGGGTGTCTGCTGTTACTGTGAACACTGAACGAAACTCATAGGTTAGAGTTCAAAGCCACCTTGGAAGCCACTTAGTCTCGTATTACAGATGAAAGGATAGAAATGCCAAGAGAGTATAACTTGGCCAACGTCACACCAAAAAAAGGAGTCTAGAGCTGGGATCTCGTCAGCATGTGCTTACCTATAGCTTTTGTAGAAGTTATAAAAGCATAATTCCAAAGACATCTTTGAACACGTAAAATACTTTAAGAGATTTGCTTTTTAAAATTTCTGTCTCACTTTTATATTTGTATCCCCAGTGCTTGGTATATAGTAAACTTGTAACATGCTTTTCATTCATTTTAATTGCACTGCTGATCCTCATTTTACCGTTACCATATTTTTCATGAGAACTAGCTCTTGTATGCTATTTGCATGCCTATGAGTTTTACTATACTGTAATTCCCCCTCTCTTTTTCTAGCTATTTGAAGATCAATGTTAGCTGTTTTATATAGGATCCTCTTACACAGTTTTACAAATATCTTTTAGTCTTCATTCTGATAGAACCTTTAAATGTTTAACTGGATATATGCCAAGGTTATTTCCAGAGGGAAGTTGTACAAGCACATGAGAAGTAGCCTTTTCCTTAGAAGTAAGATGGTATAGCAAAAAAAAAAAAAAAAAAAATTTTTTTTAAAAAATTACTTACTTGACTTTTACCCAGGGCAATAAATAAGCATTTATTAAGTACCTACTATATTCTAAGCACAGTGTTAAGTGCTTTACAAATACCATCTCGCTTGGTCACATAGCATCCCTGGGGATATAAGTGCTATTATTACCCCCATTTTACAGTTGAGGTAAGTGAGGCAGAAAGAGATTAAGTGATTTTCCCAGGTTTACACAGTTATTGTCTGAGGCTTTATTTCAATTAGTTCTTTCTAACTCCAGGTCCAGTGTTCTGTCCACTTTGTTATCTGGTTGCCTCAAAGGAAAGAACTGGGTTTAAATGCCCCTGTGATTCCATCTATCGGTGTGCAATGAACACTTTACTTAAACACCTTTGAATCTGTCTCCTCATCTATAAAATGAAAATATTAGTACCTGCCTCATAGTGTTTCTTTTTTGAGGGGGGGTATCAAATGCAGTAATGAATGCAAAGTATAAACCTTGATACTGTAGTGGTAGTACTAGTAGTAAACCTAAGTCCCGTCATTTATTATGTACCAGGCACTGTGCTAAGGGCTGAGGATACAAAGAAAGGCAAAAACCAGTCCCTGCTCTCAAGATCTAGAGTACATTAAGAGAAGAAACAGACTTTGTTTGATCTCATGTAAGGAAGGTCTTTCTATCAATTAAGAATTCTTGGACAGTGGAATGGGTTAAGTGACAAAGTAGAAGACTCCTTGTTTCTTTAGGAAGAAATTGGATGACTTTCTGTTAAGGTTATTGTAAAGAAGATTCCTGAATTGTCTGGAAGATTAGACAAGTTAACCCCTGTGGTCCTTTCCAATTCTAATATTCTGAGTAATTGAATAAAACAGCCATCCACTAAATAAAAAGTAAAATGAAAGAAACAAAAACCACTAAGTAAAAATTAAAATGAAAGAAACAGAATTTAGCACTTGGCTATAACATTTCTTCCTTTATGCCCCTAGAGAAAAGTTCCTTTGAACTCATACAGGAGATATTTCTTCATTAAAGCTAGCCATGATTTCCCTTCTTGGTTTTACTCTCCCCATCTACTGTTAATAGCTCCAGACTAGGATGAGTAATGGAGCAGAAGGGACTGGAGATCACTTATTTGACTACATGTAAAGAATTTTTTTTAATTCCACAGGTAATCTAGTTATTGAAAGTAAACCAACCCCTGGTTATACACCTAATGTTGTAGTTGGACAAGTTCCTCCAGGCACAAACCACATAAGTAAAACACCTGGACAGATTAACCTGGCTCAGCTCCGCCTCCAGCACATGCAGCAGCAAGTGTACGCCCAGAAACACCAGCAGTTACAACAGATGAGGATGCAACAGCCACCAGCAGGAGCAGCAACTACAACAACACCACCCCAGCAACATCCTAGACAAGCAGCCCCGCAAATGTTGCAGCAGCAGGCAAGTACTGGAAATGGCTTTCCCTCTGGGAAATTGATAATGTAGATGATAGCTCTCTGGATCTAAAGGCCTGCGTGCTGGTGTGTGTTTCCTTTTTGGAAACTGGATCTCTCCCTGTTTCTCCCAGGCTAGAAGTGGTATGGCCACTCATGAGCCTAAACCCTATTAGTTGCTCAGCACAGCATCTCTGCTCCAGTGACCTGGACCACTTTGCCACTTTTTAAACATCATGATACCTCTCCCCTCCCTTTCAGGGGCTCACTGTCTTGGTGGTATTTAGGCTTAGTGGTATTATTTAATGGTTTTAGGCAATTGCAACTCAGAACCCCCAAGCTCAAGTAATCTACCATCTTCAGTCTTCTCAGGAATAGAGATTGTATGTGTGTGCCCAGATGCCCAGCTTATAGTGTATTTAAGGTGGAAGAATTTGCCATGTAGAGAATATTAGGCTGAGTCTTGGATCAAAGAAGAAAGTTCCTCTTTCTAGAAGGAAAGAGGTTGGGGGAGGGGAAGAGAGAATTTTGGGGGGGGAAAGTCTGAAAAACAAAAATTTGCTTTTTTTCTCTGTGCCTCCTTCCTCCCATTGAGAAAGAACAAATGTAAGGAAGATCTTTCTATCTGTTAAGAATTCTCTGACAATGTAATAGGTTATATGACAGAGCACACACACACGCACAAATCTACATTGGTCATATAAAAATTTTATTTTTCTCATTTTGTATTATTAGTCTTTTACTTTTCTGTCAAGAGGTGGGTATCATGTTTTATCATTAGTCCTCTGGAATCATGGGTGGTCATTATGCTGGTCAGCATTCCTAAGTCTTTTAGAATTGTTTGATTTTATTATATGCATTTTTTATAAATAGAAATAAAATTGTGTAAATTTAGTTCTGCTAATTTCATTTTGCATCAGTTCATTCAGGTCTTCTCAGATTCTTTTGAAACCATCCCTTTTGTCATTACAGCATAATGGTATTCCATCACAACTGTATACCATAACTCCTTCAACTATTCCCCAGGTGATGGGTACCCTCTCAGTTTCCAGTTCTTTGCCACTGCAGAATGTGCTGGTATAAATGTTTTATGTATCTTTAGAGTTTGTTTTGCTTAGGAATAATTCCTCCCTTAATCTACCCTCTGTCTGTCTCCTCACCTTTCCCTCTTATTTCTCTGTTGAGTGAAGTTTCTCTCTTTCTCTCTCTCTCTCTCTCTCTCTCTCTCTCTCTCTCTCTCTCTCTCTCACACACACACACACACACACACACACACACACACACACACACACACGCGCGCGCGCGCGCGCGCGCGCTAGTAAATGTAAAGTGTCTGAGGCTGGATTTGAACTCAGGTGAAATGTATTTCTCTACCCACCTGTGTTTATGTGTGTACTCTTTCCTCCTTTGACAAGTTCAGATCCTTGAGATTCAAATGTTACCTGCTCCCTTCCCCTACTCTTTCCCCCTTGTTTGTATGGACTTCTACTTTTGCTCTCCACTTATATTAGATAATTTTCCATTCTTCTTTTAAGAGCATCAAGGCATAACAGAACTACCCCCAAGCCTTCTGTCTAATTATACTTCCTCCAAGACCCCTAATAATAACAGGGTTCGGTGTGCATATGTCATCTCCCAGTATTAGAATTTAAATAGTTTATACTTGTTTAGTCCTTTACAGTTGTTTTACATTTTTGTACTTCAAAATGTCTGCACAGCTGTTTGTTTTTTTTTTTATTAAGTCAGAAATGCTTAAAAGTCCTTTGTTTCGTTAAAGATAAGTTTTTTCCCCCTCCATAGGATTATACTCGCTTTCCAGGGTAAGCTAGTCTTGGTTGAAGACTTATATCCTATGCCTTTTTGGGTTATTGTATTCTAAGTTTTCTGCTTCTTTTGAGTGGTGGCTTCTAAGTCCTGTGTGATTCTGACTGTGGTTCCTTGATACTTGGGTTCTTTCTGGTTGCTTTTAATGCTTTGTTTTTTCCCTTGACTAGAACCTCTGGATTTTAGCTATCATGTTCCTGGGAGCTTTCATTTTGAGATTTTCATTTATTTATTTATTTATTTTGGTGAGGCAGTTGGGGTTAAGTGACTTGCCCACGGTCACACAGCTAGGACATGTCAAGTGTTTGGTCTGAGGCTGGATTTTAACTCAGGTCCTGCTGACTTCAGGGCCGGTGCTCTATCCACTGTGCCACCTAGCTGCCCCCCATTTTGAGATTTCTTACAGGAGGTAACTGATGGATTCTTTCTATTTCTACTAACATTTTAAGAGATCTGGGCAGTTTTCTCTTACAACTTCTTGAAATATGGTAGGCTTTTTCTTTTTTGATTATGACTTTTTACTTAGACACATCCTTTGGTTATCTCTCAATTATCTGTCTACTTTTTTCCCACTATGAAATACCTTATATATTCTTCTATTTTTTCAGTCTTTTGAATTTGTTTTAATATTTCATGTTGTCCAGCAGAGTCATCATCCATTCTAATTTTCAGGGAGTTCGTTGCTTGGGCAAAATTTTGTACCATTTGTATCAAGCTATTAATTGTCTTTCTAACTATTTCTCCCACATCTTTCCTTTCTTTTCTAATTTTCTCTTCTGGCACTCTCATTTATAAAATCAGTTGTATGCTTTTCTTTCTGGCTTTTCCTTCATCTCTTCCAGGAATTCTATTCAAATACTTGTGCCCAGACTATGTTTTTCTTTCTGGCTTTGCTTTTAGATGTTTTAGAACCATTTTCTTCTTCTGGGTTTGTTTCTTGGGCATTCCTTTCACCTTTTTATGGTGAGATTTTTTTTTCTAATTTTTTTTGCTTATTCTTCCTGCCTACTTCCTAACTTTGGACTTTGTGTCCTTTAGATTCCTGCTCCTCTTTTCCTAGGGATTTTGAGTGTTGTGTTATTCCGGATCCCCAGATTTCTCAGTCAGGGGACCTGCAAGCTTTTAGCGCTCCCAAAGTTGTCTGGTGCAGAGCGAAGTATGATCTCACTGCTCTCCTAGTCCAAGTTCTGTAAGTTCCTGACCTGAATTTAGGGCTAAGCAATACACCTTTGGGCTTGCTGTGCTTAGAGTTGCAGTAGACTGCTGCTGGACTCAGTCATTATCAACCATTTGATAAGCTTTCCTGGTTCAGAGTGACAGAAGTATAGGCTTCCCTTTGGTCTGAGCTTCCTGTTCTGGTTATTCCTCTCCAAGCTTCAGTTAGGGCTAGGAGCTGGAAGTGAGACTCTGCTCTTCTCCTGGAGCCAGAGCCACACGACTCCTGGGGTTTTTGTTTGTTAACTTGTTCCTTGCTTGGCACACAGCCTTGGGCCCTTGATGGGTCTTCACCCCAGTGTACTACTTCTAGGTGCAGGCCAGTCTACTATGGTTCTGTGACCAGGAACTGGGCATGAGTGACAAAGCTGCCAATTGGCACCTTTCAGCATCCTGCATGAAATTGACATGCCCAGAAATAGCTCAGACCCCTATGCTCGCTTAGGTGCGCAGCTGTGGTCCTTCTTCAGGTCCCAAGAGCTCCAGCCCAGCCCTAGGCATAGTGTTCATAGACTTCTCTCTGTCTCCCTATTTCTTCCCAGGAGGGTGTGGTTAAGGACAGCTGGCTATAATCCTTCCTGCTGATCTGCTGCCTTTGAGATGTTGGCTTTTAAAAGTACAAGATACCAATGTGGTTTAGAAGCTAAATTAATTCACTAAAACCCTCACTGCCTAAAAGTTCAGAAGCCTGTCAAGATTCAGCTCAAGTATACCATATTGTACTCAGAGATTCCCGAACTTATTTGGCCTACTGCCCTCTTAAAAAAAAAAAAGTTTCCTCAGCGCTGGTGTGCGCAACACCTCCTCCCCCCGTTGGTTAGGCTAAACCTTATTTTTATTCAGTGCCCCCCAATTGCACTTGAGGCTATCGTCTCCCCCACTACTGCTCACTTGGGGAACCTATGCTCTATGTCAGGCCTACACAACTTGTGGCCTCATAGCCCTTGGACTTCTTGCAGTATTACTGCCCAAGGATTTCAGGTGGCCTTTGAAAAATGTAGAGGAAAACATCCTTTGTATATAAAGGAAATCCTCTGGCTGCTGCAAGTTGTGTAGGCCTACACAAAGCATCTATCATTTACACTATTTGACCACCCCTCTCCCACACCCCGTCGCTTTATATCTCATTTGTATATGTTCATGTGTGTGCCTCCGCCAGTAGAATTTAAGCTACTTGAGGACTACTTTCACTTTGTATGTATTTTCCCAGTACCTGACGTGATTCCTACAATATATTAGACATTAATAAATGTGTGTTTATTGGATGATTGCTACAACAGATCCACTTATTACAAAATGAATTATTCTAATGTTTTAAAAGGGCTATAAAACTAGGGTGTGATTTCTACCCTCAGTCTGTGCCAGGATATTCTTCCTGATTTTGTTAAAAACCCATTTTCCTCTCCCAGATCAGAACTGTATGTTAAAATACAGGGACTTATAGACACTTTCTTTTTCTGACAGCCGCCACGATTAATCAGTGTGCAGACAATGCAGAGGGGAAACATGAACTGTGGGGCTTTCCAAGCCCACCAGATGAGGATGGCTCAGAATGCTGCTCGAATACCTGGGATACCCCGGCATAGTGGACCTCAGTATTCCATGATGCAGCCTCACCTCCAAAGACAAGTATGTCTAGTATTATAGTTATGACTTTGTCTGTAGCACTAAAAGGCTTTTATTTTTATAGAACAGTCTCATTTTAAACCAATAAACTAATTTTGCAGTTGATCTATATGTTAAATAACTTTTCTTCTTTAGGGACATTATAACAATTTAATTCTTCAAGTAAATGTTTTTATTTGAAAATAAAAATAATTTGTTTCTCATAGGTGCTATGTGCATTAGGTTTAATTCTATAGCAGTGAGATTAACTTACATGGCATATAGAATTAATCTCTTTTTCATCTATGACCTTACATTTCCTTCTCTGAGCTGCCTTCTCAGAATAGCCCCACCTAGATTTTAGAACTTCCATCTAGTGGCCACCTTCTAAAAGTTGAATTTGCAGATGAGTTACTGATCTGCCACAATGCAAGAAAGTGTCCCACCTGAGAGTTTTCTAAACTGATAAAATCACAAATCCAGAGCACCCTCCTCCCAAAAAAGAGGAAAAAAAACATCTGATTGCCCCAACAGTCACTGCTGCATGTTAGAATTTTTATGTTTATAACTTGAATTAAAATGGATTATTAAATGTTCAGTTCAGTAGTAATGGTGGTGTCTTTCTTCCTAACAGCATTCTAACCCAGGACATGCCGGGCCTTTTCCTGTTGTGTCTGTACATAATACCACAATCAACCCAACCAGTCCCACTACAGCCACCATGGCAAATGCTAATCGTGGTCCTACCAGCCCTTCTGTTACAGCAATAGAGCTTATTCCCTCTGTAACCAATCCAGAGAATTTACCATCCCTTCCAGACATCCCACCAATACAGGTTTGTACTCGAATTAATGAAGTTTTTAGTAGTTGAATGAATCATTTAATATCAATAGAATTCAGGTCTTTAGATTTCCCTTATTCCAGTTAAGTGACATTCTTGTGTCTATATATGAATATATAAATCAGAAATATTAGCAATGTCACCTCATTGTTCCCTTTGATCATTTTTTATACTCACAAGCAGATGTCCAAGGTACAAGTCATACCTTTGCAGAAATTAATTAGTAGCTTGAGAGAAAGGTAAACTATAAAGACAGTCCAGCTCTTCCAATCTTAGGCCAGGCCCCAAGGGACCCACCTTAGTGGAAGAGCAGCATAACACGCCCAGAGTGGAGCCAAAGTTGTTATCTTTAATTACAAAAATGTATTAAATAATTACCTCTTTTGTTCAAAGCACAGCCTGCTTTGCACAAGAAAAAAGAAAGAAGACAACGGCTAGGCCTGGTGTGAAAGTAAGAGGAGACTCTAAAACCAGGGATCAGCAGTACAAAATCTGAGGCCCCACTGAGGGAGGAGAGTAAATAGGGGGGGAAATTGCCTGAATATTTATTAGATGGATTCAGTTCAATAAATAATATATCAAGTGCTGTCTGAGTGCAAGGCACTGTACTTACACTGGAGGAACTGAAAATATTCAGCTAAAACATTGTTTCCACATGGAATTAGTTAATCTCTTAAGGGGACAAAACGTGCACAGATGACAGTAGTTTGCACTAAAGAGTTTTAAAGCTGTGCATAGTGTCTTGAAGAGAGCAGAGGGACTTTATACCAACTTTGTTAGAGAGATTAGGAGAGGCTCATAGAAAAAGATCCTTGGTGGACTTGGTAAGGATGGGTAGCAATTCAGTAGTGAAAGAGAGTATAAAGGAAAACCTTGCTTTCATAGTCAGCTGAATGAGCAAAGAAAGACGTGAAAACTGAAGAGCAAATGGTACATTTAAAGGACAGAAAATAGTCTAGTCTGACTGAAGCAGAGAGTAGTAACATGAGGGAGACTAGAAGGGTGAGGTGGTGCCCCAGGGCCTTGAATGCTCAGTACAGTACTTTGAGCTTTCATCTGGCCAGTACAGAGTTGTTGGTGGTTTTAACCAGAGAGAACAGCATCACTGCATCTATGCCTGAAAAAGACTACCTGCAGTAGAGTTGTGGTATTTCTATGAGATAACTGTGTAAAGCATTCTGCAGACTTGGTTCTATTTATTTTATAAATGTGGTTATTCTGGCACTAGTGTGGAGCATGTCTGGAAGGGGCAGAGAATAGGGGCTGTGGCAGCCTGTTGTCTTGGTCACACACTCCTGTACTCTCTGTTGTTAGGGTGGCTTTGACTTGCGGAATTCTGAATCACAGTAGGGCTAAAGCAAACCGAGTGGCCACACTGTTTGGCACCAATTAAATTCCATTTCAGTAAATTCTTAAACGCCTACTATATGCCAGGCATTGTGCTAAGTGCACCAGTATGGGAATTTGGGAGGGGCCACCAGGAGGCCTGAAAAGACAACAAGTTGGCCGGGGTTAGAAACAGCCAGGTAAAAGCTTATGAGATGGAATTAATAGAACTTGATTAATGATTGAATGTGTGGTGGGAAAAGAGGCAATGATGACAACAACAACAATAATAATAATGGTTGGCATTTATGTAGCACCTTAAGATCTGCAAAGTGCTTTACATACGTCATCTCATTTAATCCCTGTAATAACCCTGGAGGGTACACATTAAGGCAGAATTATCTCCATTTTATATCTGTGGAAAGTGAGTCTCAGAGAACTTAAGTGCTTTGCCCAAGGTCTTGTAACAGTTAAATGTCTGAGTTAATTTTCAAATTCAGGACTCTTCTGATGCCCAGATCAAGTTTTTTTTTTTTCTCCTTCCAGTTATGCTTCAAGCATAAGATAGCCACAGAATCATGAACATGGGAGAAAGTATAAATAGACTGAAATCAATAGCAGCTGCCAGGTTTAGGAGGAAAGATGATAGCTTGGTTCTATACATGTTGAGTTTTGGGTGGAGATGGCCTGAAAGGCAGAAAGATACAGGTCTGTAGTTCATGAACAGACTTGATGCTGAAGGTAAACATCTTTGTGAAGTTGGCAATTGAAGCCATGGGAGTAAATGACATTGCCAGGAAAGGTAGTGTAGAAAGAGATGAAAGACTCTTAGGGCATAGCTGCATTAAAATATCGTGAAAAGGATACTAAACCATCAAAGAAATAGAGAAAAGGTAGTTAGATAAATGGGAAAAGAATTAGGTTCTAGAGCCCCTCCAATCAAGATAAGAAAAAACTGGTAAGAGAGGAATAGTCACTCCCATCAGAAGCTGCTGAGGGCTCATGAGGGAAAAACCATTGAATTTGTTGATTATGTGTTTGATGACTTTTGATGGCACAGTTTCAGTAGTTGAGGAGAGAAAGCCAAGGAGTAGGTACTGAGAAAATTGAGGCAACAAATGTAGATCACCATTTTAAAAAGTATATTAGTAGTCAAGTAGAAGAAAGAGGTGGGACTGTGGCAGAAAGGGATAGCAGGGCCTAATTAGGTAAGGCTTTTTTTAATTATTATTATTATTATTATTATTATTATTATTATTATTATTATGTAAATTTTTAGCACTATCACCTTTATTTTACAAATGCATTCTCTCCCTTCCTTAATAGCTAGAAATAAAAAGAGAGAAAAAGTAGTTTAGCAGAACTTTCCAGCATATCAGAAAAGAGTTTATTTTAGTTTTATATTTTCCAGACCCAGTCCTGAAAGGAAACAAGGGGAAGTGCTGGTGAAACTTTTTTGGACTTGAGAAAACCCAAGTATTTCTAGATTGTAGTGAGGTATTGGCAGTGCTGGTCCTAGAAGAGGCAGGAGCTAAGAGGACCAAGCAGTATGGAACACGGTTGATGTCAGGAAGCAATAGGCATATTTTGTCACACGAAATGGTTGGGGAGAGTTGAGAGAGCTTATGTTTTGACCTTGGTCTGTAAGCAGAAAGAATAAAAAAGTTGGAACAATTATGAGGAATGGAATAGGGAGTTTATAACAGCACCAGTAATCTCAGCTGAGGTTTATTTATATAGATAAAACACATGACTTGGCTGTTGGTGATATCAGTTCAACAATTTGAACTTTTTTTTAAGAGCTTAGTGTATGTATGTCTGGGATTACTGAGTGGGGAAAAAAAGCCATATAGAAAAATAAAACATCTATGCATGAATTATCTGTTTTGATTATTATTTGCATTGAATTTTAATCCTAAGGCAACTTGCCCATCACTTAGTATACTTATGCCTTTCACATAATCCTCCCTGTTCATACTCAGAGAAAGAGTGAATTTTCATAGTAGCCTAATAAAACAATTAAGAAGATAAGACCATAAAATAAAAATCATAATTCTATTCCAGAGCCAAATACAACTTTTGGGTTACCCATCCATATGTTTATTATTGCTTCCCCTTCATTACTTCAAACAGTCAAGTTCCTCAAGTAGAAAAGACATGAAATTTAACTCTATGTTTAAATAGACTGGAGAGTCTCTATAGACTCTTGGTATAACAACTTAAGACTCAGAAACTCTCATTTCTCACTACACTGATGATATCACAAATCCTAAATGAAAAATGCATAAATGGAAAAGTACATAGTATGATGAATATAAGATTTACCTTGAGGTTAAGAAGAACTGGTTCAAGTTCTCCCTTTCACCATGCTATTTCTGTGGCCCATGGACTAGTCATTTGGGCCTCTCAGTGCCAAAGGGAAGACTGTTAAGTTATAGGCATGTTTCTTATCCCTATAGAGATAAATAGTTTCCTCCAAACTAAGAAAATACATACTTAAACACATGGAACAGAGAAAATAGGTCCTAGACTCCTTTATCTAATCAGGGAAAGTGTTTTGAAAGATTTTTACTCTGGATTATTACTTGAAGCTGAAAGGGAATTTTTTTGGCCAGCAAAATATTTTTATTTGTTATTAAATGTTTAATAAACAACAAACAAACCTAACTGATTAGCCTTTTATAAGATAGAATCTTCCAGAAATTAACAAGGAAATGCTTTTGTTCTTAGTTGCCCCCCTGCCACCTCCCTGAAGCACCTTTAGCCCCCTTTTCCATCCTCTTTGCTTTCTTTACTTTTTAAATAGTTACTGACATTTTATGCATAGTTATAGTTCTGCTTTCACTCTGCATCACTTTATATAGGTCTTTTTATATTTCCTTGTAAATTTCATACTCAGCATTTTTTTTCCTGTCACCATTTTATTCCATTACATTAATGGGCCATAATTTATTCAGCCATTCTTCAGTTGTTAGATTTATATTCATTTGTTTTTCCTATTACATGTGGAGCACTTACGAATATTTTTGCTCAGACAGGTTCCTATTTTTCCTTTTTTATGATTTTTTAAAATAAACTATTCCATTTTTGAGCCATCCTCCCATATGGGAGAGAGTGGAGATAAAGAGGCTGTGGAATTAAAGAGAAAAGGCAGGAATGATCAGGTTGGCTCCATATCGTTCCTGCAGTTGGAGTTATTAAAATATAAATAGCCTTCTAAAAATAATTTAGTTGAATCGCAAGGAACAGAACCATGAGTTACTATGAGAAGCTAAAATGGTTTGGGACATGCATGTGTCCCTAACTTTTTTTCCTTTTTCCAATTGGATTTTATTTTATTTTCAGGTCTGAATTCTCTCCCTCTCACCTCCCTCTTTTCCCCCACCCCCAATGAGAAAGCAAGAAAACAAAACCCGTTACAAACACGTATAGCCACAAATTCCCGTATTGGCCATGTCAAAAACAAAACAAAACATAAGCCTCAGTCTGCACTCTGAGTCCATCACCTCTCTAACTGGAGGTGGGTAGCATGTTTCATCATGAGTCCTCTGGAATTATAGTTGGTCATTGTGTTGATTATAGTACCTAAGTCTTTCAAAGTTGTTATCCTTACAATATTGTTGTTGTATAAATTATTCTCCTGGTTCGTCTCACTTCACTTTGCATCAGTTCATACAAGTCTTCCCAGTTTTCTCTGAAACCATCCCCTTCTTCATTTCTTAGAGCATAAGAGTATTCCATAACACTCATATACCATAACTTGTTCAGCCATTCTTCAGTTGATAGGTGCTTCCTCGGTTTTCAGCTTTTTGCCACCACAAAAAGAATTGCTATAAATATTTTTGTACATATGGGTCCTTTTACTCTTTTAAAAAATCTCTTTGGAATATATAGACCTCGTAGCAGAACCTCTGGTTCAAAGGGTATGCACAGTTGAATTATTTTGAGACATAATTCCAAATTGTTCTCCAGAATGGCCGGACTAGTTCCCAGTTCCACTGACAGTGCATTAATGTACCTGTTTTCCCACAGCCTGCAGGAGGAAATGTAACAAATGGAAATAAGGAAGCCATTTCAGGCATAAGAAGGACTGAGTTAGCTTGAGAGCAGATGAAACAGTGATTTTAAAAATGAAGAGCATGCAGTGAGTCAGACAAGAAATCATTGTTATCCAGCAGTTTTTAAACATGGTAAAAGTCTGCTCTTAAATGGTGATATATTCCCTTTGAAAAACTAGTGTGATAAATAGAAAATTAATGGAGTAAACTAAATGGGGTGTGTTTTGATGTTTAACTTTTGCCTGTGGAAGAATTTAATATGTTTAGTTTTCATTGTAGCTGTTAAGTGAATAATGGAGAGTGTCTTTTTAAATTGGTTTTCACATTGCCTCACTAATGAAAATAATGTCTTATTAGTCACATTGGGCCTTTCAAGTGATTGGGTTTTTTTCTTGTGTACTTATGATGTCATCTTTGTAGGGAACTCCAGGTGAGGAGCTTTCTTTGGGGATGCAGATTAGCATCTTCTCTGGGAAGTTAAGTTAACCTGGGAGGTTAAGGGACTTAGACCCAGGTCCAGTCTATGACTCTGAGACTAATTCTGGTGAGCTGCAGACAGTTGAGGAAGTGGACAGAGCCAGCAACATGTAAATTGAGTGTATATAGCATCACTTCCTCAGGAGCAGTGCCTAATGTTTGGGGTACAAAAGTAATCCCTTAACCTCCCAGAGTATAAGAACATTTGTTTCTCTGACCATTGACTGAAACATGGAGTGATTTTTGTTATGATTAATTTTAATTATTCATTTCAGGATTTTATACATGCATGGTAGGAAAATTCACAAAATGAAAGAAAAAGTGATGAATGTATGACTCTAAGTTAGGTCTAATTCCTGTCATCTTGCTTGTCCTTCAGTTTTTTGTACAGTAAAATATTTCTAATTATAAACTCTTGAATTTAGGAATTTCTTCTCTGCCTAGATGAAAATTTGTCCCTTTTTTCCCTCTTTAGTTGGAAGATGCTGGATCAAGTAGTTTAGATAATCTCCTAAGTAGATATATCTCAGGCAGTCACCTACCCCCACAGCCTACAAGTACCATGAATCCCTCTCCAGGACCCTCTGCCCTTTCGCCAGGATCATCAGGTAAAGTGAACAGGAGTTGCTGTAATATTTAACTTTGATCTGGAAACAAACATATCTTTAAATATTGTACATTATTTTTGTGTCCATACTCTTCCTTCCTTGCCTTTTTTTTTAAATTTTAGTGATAATACTTTTCACACATTTTGTAACAATATTAACACTTCTTTATACTAAGGATTGTGCTGGTTGATGTTCCGAATTTAAGAAGTGCTGTTATTTTCCCTGTGCCTCATTGTCTTCAGTTGCAGTTATAAGTTTGTGTTTGACTTCTGTTTTTATAACATGGAGAGGAAATGAGAAAAATGAATCTTTTTCAAAACAGTTTTATATCATTTCTGGAAAAGTGCCTTAGTAAATAGTAGTTAAAAGGAAGAATAAAAATTAGGAAATTACGTTTATTTTAAAAATTGATATTTTTAGAAGACTTTCTTTTTGCTGAAGCTTTTATCTAAATGTTTTATCTAGTGACACAACATTAGGTTGCTTACTTGGGGTCATAAAACTTGAATTTGTACTGTATTTGACAACAGCTTCTTTGGCTTTTAATGCAAGCTGCTATTATTATATCGTTTGGCTTAAAGAAAAAATGGGCAGAAGGTGGAAGCAAGGCCAGGTGACAGAAGATTAATTTGACAGCATGGCACAGTCCTGTAAAAGTGGTGTCAGAAATGCTTTAGTTCTTAGTGAACTGAGACTGGTGAAGGAAATGGAAGATAATTATCAAGGGCATTTAAAAAGCATATTGGGAGAAAAAAGGAGGACTGAAAAAGGATAGGACCTTTGTTTGGTATGGGTAGGAGCATAAGTGCAACAGAGAGAAGAAAGGATTGCTCAAATTCTTTTGTTTCCGTTTTTTTCTGCAAAGGAGAGTGATGACCGAAATGGCTAAGAATAAAAATGACTAAAGGGAGTCGATAGCTGGGATCAGTAAGGAGATAGGAATAGAGCCCTAGCTGCCCAAATGAACCATCCTCAGGTGCTGCCAAGATTGATCACCCACTCTCAGTGCTGTTTGAAAGACGCTGGAAAACAGGAAAGGCATAAGAGGATTGGATAAGGGCAAATGTCCTGGGTTTTCAGAAACTGGATGACAGGGATAAGTCTGTACACTGTATAGACCAGTGATCTTGACTTCAGTTTCTGGGGAAATTCTAGAAGGGATCTTTAATGAGGTTGCTGGTGAATATCTGGAAAGGAAAGGGATGATTACATGGAACCAGCATGGTTTCATTAGAAAGAAGTTTTGCCAGACTAATCTCATTTCCCTTTTTGATAAAATTACATAACTAGTAGTGAATATGGTTTTACTGTATAAGTGTAAGTCTGTTCTTGTGGAGAGGAGCAGTTAGGTGGCACCGTGAAGAGAGTACCAGGTCTGGAGTCAGGAAGATTTATCTTCCTGAATTCAAATCTGACCTAAGATACTTACTAGCTGTGTGACCCTGGGCAGGTCACTTTATCCTGCTTGCATCTGTTTCCTCATGTGTAAAATGAGCTGGAGAAGGAAATGTCAAACCACTCCAGTATCTTTGCCAAGAAAACCCCAAATGGAGTCATGGAGAGTCAGACATAACTGAATACCAACTACATTTTTATGGAGAAAATGGAAAGATACAGATTAGACAGTATAGTCAGATTGATTCAGAACAGGTGAGATGGAATTATTAATGATTCCACGTCAGCATGGTAGGTCTCTGGTGGAGCGCCTCAAGGATCTACTTGACCCCGTCTGTTTAACATTTTTTTCTGTGACTTGGATAAAGGCGTGGCCAACATGCTCATCAAATTTGCAGATAGAACAAAGCTAAGAGGAATAGTTAATCAGTGAATGACAGGTAGGGGTTCCAAAAGAATCTTGATAGGCATGAAGTTGTCTGTAACAAGATTAATTTTAGTAGGAATAAATGGAAAGTCTTGCATTTGTTTCCCCTACCCCTCTCCAAAAAAAAAAACCTGAAGCGTAAGGTGGGAGAAGGAAATGGATACACAGCAGTTGTTCTGAAAAGATCTGGGGGTCTCAATGGATTGCAAACTCAGTGTGAGTCAGCAATATGATATAGCTGCAAAAAAAGCTAATGAGATTTGGGGCTTCATTAAGAGGTCCAGAGTTTCCAAGAATGGGGAAGCGATAGTCTCACTCTATTCTGCTCTTGAAAATGTAGTGTTCAGTTCTGGGCATTGCAGTTTAAGGAGGCCATTGATAAGCCAGCACCTGTCCAGAGGAGGGCAGCTTGGATGCTGCAGCACAGCATACTTAGATTTCAGCAAGGACTTTGACAGAATCTCTCCTGCCATTCTTGTAGGCATTTTTAGAGATCTGGACTCAGATGATAATATAGAGGTTGGTGGCTGTGGAACTGTTAAAATGATCCCCACTCCCACCCCCAGTGATCAGTAGTAGGGTGATGTCAAGTTGGAGAAACATCTCTAGAGGAGTGTCCTGTCTTTTTAAGCATTTTTATTAGTGACTTGGATGAAATCATGGAAAGCACACTGGTAAATGGCAGGTGACATGAAATTATGAGAGAGAGCTGAGCATGTTAGGATCCAGAATAGTCACAGAATCTCATTGATCATCTGGTCCAACTTATTACCCAAGAATGTCTCTGTTTTATAACCAAGAAATGTTTAGTCCTTGCTTTGAGGCCTGTGAGTGGGAGGAACCATGACCTCCAGAAGCAATCCATTCTACTTTGGGAGACTTATAATTGTTGGGATTTTCTTCCCTAATATTGAGCCAGAATCTGTCTCTGTAATTTCTCCTGATTGCTCCTAGTTCTAGCCTCAGGGACCAAGCAAACTAAGTTTGATCCTTCTTCTACATTACATCCTTTCAGATACTTGAAAATAATAATTCTTCTCTTCTTCTTACAAAATATCTCAAGTTCACCATCCTGATCACCTTTCTCTGGGCAGGCATTTTAGAATAATAAGTCTAATCAAATAAGATAAAATTTATTTTGAATAAATACAATTTCCCAAACAGAGGCTTAAAAAAATCAGCTTCTCCAGTACAGGAAAGGGAAGTGTATGTAAACAGATTTTGTGAAAAAATAACTGGAGGCTTATATGCTCTCTATGAGGCTCCCTTTTGTTTCTAGGCTAAAGTACAAATTCTTCAGTTTGGTATTAAGTCTTTCACAATTTGGCTCCATTTTGTCTTTTTGTACTTATTTCATAATTCTCCCCTTTGTACACATTGTATTGCAGCCAAACTGGCTTACTACTGTTCCCTGAAGTCAGTATTCTGTGGCCTTCTGTCCCCCATGCCCAGAATGCATTCTCTTCTGTGGTTATTATTGCTTTCGTCCTCCTAAAATAACTTTACTTTTGTCTGCTTAGTGTTTACGTGTTGTACTCCCCCCTTCCTCCAGAATGTAAATTCTTTGAGGGTAAGGGCTTTTTTGGGAGGGAGGTGTCTTTCTAGACCTAGTTCCTAGCATGATGCCTTACCCATAGGTTTATGCATAGTTTGTTGAAATAAGTGTGGCCTGGCAGCACCAAAAGTTCATTCGGGTTTTGTCTACAAGAAGAGAGGCTTAATGTTTAAGGAAATGATGCTTCTGCTTTCCTGGTCAAGCCATATTTGGACTGCTCTGTTCAGTTCTGAGCACCACATTTTAGTCTGTAGAACAACTAAGATGTTGTGAGAGTACTAGAGAACATATCATATGAAAATCTTATAAACGAACTGGGGAATGTTTTACCAAAAGAGGGAAAGATTTAGTGGAGAACATGATAGCTGTCTACAGGTGAAGGGCTGTCTAGTGAAAGGGAGTGCTCCCTGTGAACTACGGATGGAAGTTGCAGAGTTAATTTAAGCTTTTTGTAATAAGAAAAAAGCTTCTGAGCAGTTAGAGTTGTCCAAAAATAGACTAGGCCACCTTTTCTACAAGTAGACTTACTGAAGATGTTGTAGAAGGGATACCAGGTATGAGTTGGACTAGATGACCTTCCAAACCTTGTGTTCTGTGAGTTCTTAAGATCTGTGCCAATTGGTATTTTTGTCGGAAGAATATTGTTTATGACTGAAAGTGCATCTGTTAGAATTTAAGTGTGGATTTGGAGTCAGTGATAGAAAAGGAGTATATACTTGCTATAACCATATTATTAGGCTTCAAAGACAATTTCCTAGGCATCCAAATGAACAGTTTATAAGTGGACTACTTTGTGTTTGTCTGGGTCAAGGCTTCTTAAAGCTTTTTCCATTGGGAACCACTTTTTGAGTTGCCTGGCTTGAGGGCATGCATAGTGCAAAGTGTGCATGCTATGTGTTCATAACCCAGGCTGCACTGAAGTTGTGTGATGCAGCACAAGCAGGCGCTGCCAGAAACATCTTGGATTCGTTATGTGTTTGATTTTTAATTAATTTTTGGTTGTTGCGCGTTCAGAAACCTTTTACTGTTAACAAGTTTTTGGGTTGCGACCCACAGTTTAAGAAGTGCTGCTCAAGGTGACCTGAAGATTAGGGTTCACTTTCTAAAAGCATTGATTAGGGTTAATTTAATAAGCATAACTTGAGTACTTTCAATTAGAAATATCTTTGTATTTACTTTTGACATACCTTTTGCCCTGATCTCTTTTTAGGCTTATCCAATTCCCACACACCTGTGAGGCCACCAAGTACCTCCAGCACAGGCAGTCGAGGCAGGTAAGTGTTACCACCACTTGGAAGTATCTGGGATGTGAGAGGTTTGGATGGTAACTGTGGTAATACATTATTCTAATTGAAAGTACCTGATTTAGTAAAACATTAGTTATACTTTGTATCATACTGAAGAAAAGGTCTGCTTGAGTGGGTTTTTTTCTTTATATTGTTGCCAAAGAAATGATTGGTGTCGTTATGGGTACTGGAGAAAATTGTAGATAGAAAAGATGTTTATCCCTCATGCTGTTTAAGGTCACACCTCCAGTTTTTATTGGCCATTGCTTTTTGTTTAGGAGCTGGATAGAGTTTATCCCAGCTTCATGGATCCAACATTAGGAGGTACTAGGCCAGTTTTCATCCATGATTGAAATAAATGGAGCCTGCTTGTGAGCAATACCAGTGTTACCCCATCTTTCTCTCAGAAATGAAATTATCGACGTTCTAAACTAGCTGCCTGAGAAATTGACAATTTGCAAGGCCATGTACTTTTTATTCACAAGTGTCTTAGTATTTTAAAATTATATAGTCCTAGTATCCCTCTGAAAGTTTGAAATATATTTTTTAAAACTTGCAAAGCACAATTTTTTTTTAATCTGCACTGCAACATTGTCTTATTTTTAATGGAAAGGAAGCAAAGAAGCCAGATTTCATTGTGAGGTACACTTATCTTCTCCAGTGTTAATAACTTGCTTCACCCAATTGTTTGCTATTTATAGTTTAGTCAATATTTTTACATGTTTTATTTTCACATGTGCGTAATTTTCAGCTGTGGGTCATCAGGCAGAACTACAGAGAAGGCAAGTCTTAGCTTCAAATCTGACCAAGTAAAGGTCAAGCAAGAGCCTGGGACTGAGGAAGAAATATGCAGCTACTCAGGAACTGTGAAACAAGAGAAAACAGAGGATGGCAGGAGGAGTGCATGCATGGTAAGGTTCCTCTGGGATCCCAAATAAGGAACATTGGGAAATCACAAACTTGTCTGACTCTGGTGTTTCTTCTTTTTAGTCCATTTGGTTGAGGGTGTTTGTGATTCATTTATTCTTGAATTTTCATGCCTGGAACAAGTCAAATTGCTTTTTCAGCTTGTCAGTCAGCAGTTATTTATTAAGGGCTTACTATGTAAGCACTGCTAAGTAGAAGGTAAATTCAGAGGGGAAGTATTAGAGTGGGAAGAGATGGGATATTCATGAAAAGCTCATACAGAAGGTGAGATTTACACTGCTTTCTTGAAGGAGTCTGGGAAACCAAGAGGTAGAGACAAAGGAAGAGAGCATTCCAGGCAAGAGGGATAGATAGCCAGTGAAAAGAAGGTCAGTGTTGCTGTATTGTAGAATGCATGGAGGAGAATAATATGTTAGAAGAGTAGAAACAGGTCAGGTTGTGAGACTTTTAAAGCCAGAGGATTTTATAGTTGATCCTAGAAATAATAGGGAGCCACTGGAGTTTATCAGATAGGAAAGTTGGGGGTGACATGGTCAGATAACTTTGGGAAGATCACTTGGGCAGTTGAATGGAGGATGGAATAGAGTGGGAAGAGACTTAGAGGTAAGGAATCCAATCAGAAGGCTCCTTTCAGTAGTCCAGGTATTAAGGTGGCTCTGTGGGTTGTAGGGAGAGGGATGTAGATACTGTGAGTGTAGAATTGACAGGACTTGCAGATCTATGGAGAATGGAAGAATTTATAACCAAACAAGAGATAGAGAACATTATGAAATGCAAAATGAATAATTTTGATTACATTAAATTAAAAAGTTTTTGCACAGGTAGAACCATGCACCCAAGATTAGAAGGGAAGCAGAAACTGGGAAACAATTTTTGCCACCAGCATCTCTGATAAAGGTCTCATTTCTAAAATATATAGAGAGAACTGAGTCAAATTCATAAGAATATACTTCATTCCCCAATTGATAAGTGGTCAAAAGATATGAACAGGCGGTTTTTAGATGAGGAAATTAAAACTATCTATAGTCATATGAAAAAATGCTCTGAATCACTATTGATTAGAGAAATGCAAATTAAAACAAGTCAGAGGTACCACCTCACACCTATCAGATTGGCCAACATGACAAAACAGGAAAATGATGAATGTTGGAGAAGATGTAGGAAAATTGGAACACTAATACATTGTTGGTGGAGTTGTGAACTGATCCAGCCATTCTGGAGAGCAGTTTGGAACTATGCCCAGAGGGCTATGAAACTGTGCATACCCTTTGATCCAGCAATACTACAACTCGGTTTGTATCCCAAAGAGATCATAAAAAAGGGGAAAGGACCTATATATACAAAAATATTTATAGCAGCTCTTTTTGTGGTGGCAAAGAATTAGAAATTGAGGGGATGCCCATCAATTGAGAATGGCTGAACAAGTTGTGGTATATGAATGTAACGGAATACTATTGTTCCATAAGACATGATGAGCAGGCAGGTTTCAGAAAAACCTAGAAAGACTTAAAGACATTGATCCTGAGTGAAGTGAGCAGAACCAGGAGAACATTGTATACAGTAACAGCAACATTGTGTGATAACCAACTTTGATAGATTTAGCTCTTCTCAGCAATGCAGTGATCTAAGACAGTTCCAAAAGACTCATGATGGAGAATGCTATCCACATCCAGAGAAAGAGCTATGGAGTCTGAATGCAGATTGAAGCATACTATTTTCTTCACACACACACACCCTTTTTTCCTTTCTTGTAGTTTTTCCCTTTTGTTCTGGTTCTTCTTTCAACACCTTGACTAATGTGGAAAAGTGATATGATTATACATGTATAACCTATATCAGATTGCCATCTTGGGGAGGGAGGGAGAGAATTTAGAACTCAAAATCTTATAAAAATGAATGTTGGAAACAAAGTTTTTTTTAAAAATTGACAGGACTTGGCAACAGATTGGCTATGTGGAATGACTGCTGGTGAGAATTTGAGGAAGAAAACAAATGGGTCTGGTGACAAGACAGATGGTGGTACCTTTGACAACAGTAGGGAAGTTTGGAAGAGGGAATAGTTTGTGGGGAAAGAGGAGTTCAGTTTTGGAGTTGAGTTTAAGATGTCTCAGGAAATTCGGTTGGAGATGCAAGACTGGAGATCAGGACAGAGGTTAGGGCTAGTTACGTAGATCTGAGAATCATCTGCATAGAAATGATCATTGAAATCCATGGGAGTTGATGAGATCCACCAAGTGAAATAATATGTAGAGGGAAGGAGCCGCAAGATGGAGCCTTGGAGACCTCCCATAGTCAGGCTGTGATCTAGATGAAGATCCAGCAAAGGAAACTGAAGAGGAACTAAGGAAGACGTGTCAGGAACACCTAAAAAGGAGAGAGTATCCAGATTGATAGTCCAGAGATATCAAGAAGGATCAGGGTTGAGAAAAGACTGGGTGGTCTTGGGTGATTTGGCAAGTAAGAGATCATTACTAACTTTACAGTGAGTGGTTTCAGTTGAGTCACAGGGTTTAGAAGCCCATGAGAAGAAAAGCGAGACACTGATTTGTTACTTAAAAGAGTTAAGTGATGAAAGAAATAGGACAGCAGCTAGTGGGAATAGATGGATCAAGTGAAGGTTTTTTTAAGGGTGGAGGAAACATGGATGGTTTGTAGGTAGCAGGGAAGGATGCAGTGGGTAGGGAGAGATTGAAGATCTCTAAGATTTTCTTTGAAAATAATTTTGTAGTCTGGAATTCATAGAGAGTGGGAATCAAAACAGTGATTCAGGTGTCAGTAATTTCTGCTTTACAGCTACCAGGTTCTGTGTTTATGTGAGTTAAAGTCCATGTTAATGTCAGTCATTAACTCAAAGACTCCTACCAAGGAAGATCCTAGTTTATTGTTCTGCCCCCATTTTCCTGTCCTAATGACTAGGAAGATGTGAATTGTGAAAGGGGCACAGGATAGTAATGTCATTGGAATAACTGTTATTTGACTCGTATTTTTCTTTAACAAAATAATTATCCCTACTATTAAAGAAAGCTCCAAACTCCTTTTGCCATAGCCAGTTTTTATTGTTCTTCATTCTTTCTTGAGTCTCAGTGCCCAAATTCTATGACTTCCTTTCCAATTGGCCTACAGCAAGGGTAGCTTAGTCACAAGATTGAGTGAGTCTACAGTTGACTCTCAATTTGGTTCTGTAGATTTTATAATACAGATTTTGCTAGGGAGTTGGGGAAAGGGGAGTTGTAGTATCACCTTTTAAATTCAGGCAATTGCCGTGAGTCTCGTTGAATGTTCTAATCTAAGATAAAAGTCTTAGTGGATCTAGAGGGGCTTTTTTGCAGGGGGCGGGGATTAATTTTCTTTCTTTTTTCTGGCAGGCAAAATGGATTTTTATTCAATTAAGTTTAGTGCAAGTATAGAACATATTGTAAACATGTAGCACATCCACTCATACTATAATAAATCTTACTTTTGTATATCTGCCTTGGAGTAATACTAGAGAAGGTTGATTTCCAGAATAGTTTATGGTCAGACTTGGCTAATTTTCCTTTTCCATCTCATAAACTGCCCACAACTTCAAAAAGACATATGGCCAGGGCAGTTTTTCAGGAGACTTCCTAAATACACGTCAGCAAGTAGAAAATAATGACCCTCAGTCAACTATAAGTTTTAGAAATAATTTTCCTTTGTTATCCAATTAATGTGCTTACGGAAAATCATAATTAGGGTAACTACGACTCTTGGGATTTCATATTCTAGGATGTCTAAATGACTTTGGGATGGATGATCTGTGGCTTTCCCTTATGCCATTTGCATAAATAATGAAAAGTTTGCTATCTCTTGAGTGATGTTTTACATTTACCCTAGGAGCCCCAAATATCAGAAGAGTTTTTAAAATATATTAGTGATTCTGATACACTCTTATGATAAAGAAAAACGATAGATTTACAGACATTTTTGTCAAGTCCAGACTTAATTTTCATAAGAATGTGATTTTTTTTTCCCCTGTAAGAAAAACAAGATGGTTCTGATGCTATTGTTTTGTTTTAGTTAAGCAGTCCTGAGAGCAGCTTGACACCACCTCTGTCAACCAACTTGCATCTGGAGAGTGAGTTGGATGCGTTAGGAAGCTTGGAAAATCATGTCAAAACAGAACCTATGGATATCGGTGAAAGCTGTAAACAGCCTGGGCTCAGCAGTCTTGTCAATGGAAAATCTCCAATGCGAAATCTAATGCACCGTTCAGCAAGGACTGGAGAAGGCAACAACAAAGAGGATGACCCAAATGAAGATTGGTGTGCTGTGTGCCAAAATGGAGGGGATCTTTTATGCTGTGAAAAGTGTCCAAAGGTCTTTCACCTCACCTGTCACGTTCCAACACTTCTCAGCTTTCCAAGGTACAAGAAGATAAATTTATTATTTCTGAAATTAATTCTTAGGAATTTTAATGTAGTTCTCCTTTTGAGGAATGTGGTCCCCAAAACTTTTGTTTTTCTGTAAATTTAGAGCCTCCTTATTTCTGTCAAGAGACCTGCCATGTCAGCCATGGCAGCTTAAATGACTTCCCCTTTTTCATGTAGAAAGCTGAGTCATAACCTAGTCCCAGTGATGAGGTTAGGGATCCTGGAATCCCGAAATCATGACACGTGGGTCCTGTCTGAAAGAATTCGACCCAAGCTTTCAGCCAAACACAAGGTTTATTGAAGATTCGCCATATTAGCTAGACTCTTAAGGAATCTGAGCATCTGTGACCTATTAGCTAGATTGTGACAATCTGAGCAGTGGCTAGATTATCAGAATCAGAGCGTCTCAGTGGAGACCTTATGTCTCCATTGGACCTTATATACAGAAAGACTATGGGAGAGATCTAGGAGTGCCCGAGTAGTCTATGAGGTAATAGAAATCTAGGGGTGGCCTAGGGAGAATGGAGCCTAGATAGGATTAAGGGTGGGAAATGGCTGGTTCCTGCAGGGAGATAAGACAGTGGAGGGCCACGCTAGGTTGAATGTAAGGCAGATTGGGCATAGCCACAGTGAAAGGCCAGTTGATGGGATTATAGCCTCAGGGGGAACGCCAGAGATCAGGCCTTGTGGGAAGGTCCAGGGTTTTTCCTTTTTGGGGTTTAGCTCCCGTCCTCATCACCAGCATTTTAAATTATTAGGACAGGATACACCATTTTCTGATCTCCTGTATAGTGAGTGTCTTGACCCCTCTGCTACTTATTGCTCTTCTTCCTTAAGGTTAAGTTTATTTTAAATAAAACATCACCATTAAAACAATGTTATCTCATTCCTGAGTAAATTTTGCATTCATGTGTATTTTTGCACATAATAGGGAGAGAAAAAAGTAACTCCTTTTGGTGGAGGTGGGGTGGGGTAAGGTAGGGGGATTTGCTACATAATACTTAGTATAAAGGTTGATGAAAGGAGCTGAATGTTTAGCCTTGAGGAGAAATGATTTGTGGGCTTGTGGTGATGTTGACTTCAAATCTTTAAAGAGTTATCTGGGAAAGAGGAATTAAATTTGTTGTGTTCTCTAGGGCATGCCTAGAAACAATAAATAAAGCTGTAAAGATACAGATTTAGGCTGTATAATTTTGGAATGGATTGCTTTGGGAAGTAGTGAGTTCTTTGAAAATGGACTTCTTCAAACGTGTGTTTTGCACTACTTGAAGTTATTGTAGAAGGGGGACTCCTGCTTCATTTGGGGCCCTCCTCGGCTCCTTCATTTGAGTGCTTTTCCTCCAAGGTGATCTCCAGTTTGCCCTCTCTGTATCTTGTTAGTACATAGTTGTTTGCCTATGAGCTCCTTGAGAGCAGGGACGATTTTTTGCCTTTCTTTTTTATCTTCAGAGCTTAGCCTAGTGCCTGGCATATAAAGGCTTGTTCACTAACTCATTGAAACCCACCATCATTAGTACATTGTGTCTCTGTGCCAAGCTTGTGAACCAAATCCCTAATCTATTTGCTTCCTCTGACCAAGGGTCATTAGTATGCTCCAGACTGACTGACTAATACAATCTAGAATTTCTCCAGGAATCCAAATTAAGGTCACTGGTCTCAGAGTAGTTTGCAAATTCCATTCTCTTCCCTTTTTTTGTAAATCAAGGCAACATTTATAATTTCCCATATCTTTTGGGACCTCTTCTCCATCCTCCTAGAGATATCCCTGACAATGGGTCAGCAATTTTGGCACTGGGTGCTACAGTTCTTGTAGCTCGAGTGCCTTGAATTCTTTGAGAGTATCTGAGATCGCTTACTATTTATTGCCTCACTTTTCCAAACTATCAGTTCCATGTTAGTATTTATTTTCTTTTCCAGTTCAGAGATCAGTGGGTCACAGCACCAGAATTGAAAGGGACTCAGAGGCCATCCAATCGAAACTCTTTATTTTTCAGATGAGGAAATCTAGGCCCAGGAAAGTTAAGCTGCTCACGCAACGTAACATGGGTAGTACGCATCAAGAGTGGGGCTTTGAACCCAGATCCTCTGACTGTCAAGCCAGCACTCTTGCCACTGCACCATGTTGTCAGCCTTGGTAGAGAAAACAAGCAGAACTGGGTGGAATAATTCTGCTTTCTATAGTCAGTACAGTGCTTCCATCTTTGATTCTCTTTCCCCCCACAGTGCTTTAGAACATGCCCTAAACCATTGTATTGTTCTGAGATTATGGTGTATAAATGATATTGTGTTGTAAGAAAAATGGGGCAATTTCAGAAACACCTGGGAACACATGTCTGAACTGATACAGATCCAGATAAGCAGATTGAAAAGAGCAACTTGTACAAAGACAGTGATATTGTAAAGTCAAATAGTTTTGAAGGGCTTAAGAACCCTAATCAGCAAAATAACTGAGCACAATTCCAGAGGATTCATGATAAAACATATGCTCACCTCCTAATAGAACAACGAAGGACTCAGAAATAAGACCAATGTAGAATGTGCTGCTTTTTTTTTTTTTGCTTGATTGTGCTTCTCCTGCAGAAAACTTTTCATTCCTTTTAACATCTGTTTCTAATGGTGTCAGTCATTTTTTGTAATCACCCAAATTTGAATCCTTGGAGAGTTAATTATTTTTCTTTTCCTCTCATTCCTTCCCCATCTAATCAGTTTCATAATCCCATTGGGTCTACCCCTGCATTGTTATTCATATCTGTCCCCTTTTTCTCTACTTTTACTCATACAGTAGAGATAGTACTGGAATCAGAACCTGAGTTCAGATCTCCCCCTCTGATACTTAGTACCTTTGCTGAGTCATTTCAACTTCAGTTTCCTCATCTATAAAATGAGCAGGTTGGATTAAATGACCTCTCAGCAGCTGTAGAGCAGTGATCTTAGTTCAGGTATTTATGATCTCGTCTAGACTGTACTGAGACCCCCTTACTATTATCCCTTCCTCACGTCCAGAACATTGAGACATTACTCAGTGTTAACAGATCTAATTATGTCATGCCCCTGTTTAAAACCTTCCCGTTCCTTATCGAATAAAACACATTCCTTAGCTTGGTATTCAAGGCCTTCCACCATCCAATTTTCACCTTATATTTTTCACCTACATTGTACTGCTTGCCATGCACCAAGCATTCCACCTTTCTCTACCGCTTGTTGCTGCTTTTCATGCCTAGAACAGGCTCTTCCTGCTCACCCCCACCTTTTGAAATCTTTCTTTTCATTCAAGGCCCCAGGTTAACACTTCCACCATGAGGCTCATGAAAGTGACACCTTCATCCCTACATCTCAGATGTCGTAGGAATGTGATCATTCCTCTGTACTTCTCTCATTCTTTTATTTTGTTATTGTTATTTGTGTACATGTCTCGTTCTCCCGGATGTATTAAGGGCTATAGTTTGTTGTGCTCTTTTCCCCCCATTTTTGTGTATATGCTACACCAAGCCCAAAGCCCAACATACATTTTTATAAGTAACATTGATTTGAATTGACATTTACATTCATTCATTTCTGAATCCAGATATAAATACATGAACAGAGATGTGTAAAACCAAATTGAGACAGGTTGTAAAAGCAGTGTGACACTTTAATCCTGATTGAGTAAAGCAGAGATCTGATTGACTAATTCTGTTCTTTGAAAATACATAATCCTTTATTCATAGGTTCCCGAAGTGGGTGATACCCTGAGCCCTGGACTGATCCAGGGAGAGTGGTGGGAGAGCCTCAGATACAGTTGGGGAGTGCTGAATAAAAATAAATGTTAACCTCTAACCTAACCCCATGGGAGTGCTGAGTAATTTTTTTTTAAAAGGGGGGCAGTAGGCCAAATAAGTTTGGGAACCTCTGCTTTATATGGTTAAACCATGACAAAATTGTTTAAGTGCTTTCACCTAGATCTTGGTCCCCTTTTTTTTCTTTCCTTTTTAAAAGAGCCAAACTCTGCTTCCTTGGTTTTAAATGCAAGGATTATTCCATGTTCTTTTATGTTGTAAAATACCCCAGAATGCTGGAATTTTAGGATTTTGTCACTAGAGACAGAGATTGTATTTGGTAAAGTTCTGCAGCTGCTACATAAATAGGTTTGTATACATTAGCAGTATCATCCCACTCTAGTAGGCATCAATGCCAAATTCTCTTCAGAGATAACAGTTAGAATCAGCCTCTGTCTTCTCAGACCTTTAAGTTTAATGTGAAATCCTGACAAAAACAAATGAGTTGTTATGATAAAGTAAAAGATAGCACTCCCCATCCAGTTAGCATACAGTACAGATAGGTGCACTTCACTCTATGTCACTGTGCATTCCTGAAAATCTATTTGAATTAGTTCTATGAGTTGAATTCTGATTTTATATACAAGGGGAACGTTCTGTTTTTTTCCCTTAATAGTATTTTTTTTCCAGTTACATGTAAAGATAGTTTTCAATATTCATTTTTGCAAAATTTTGAGTTCCTCATTTTTCTCCTTCCCCAAGACCATGAGCAGTCTGATAGAAGTTATACATGTACTGTCATGTGAAACATCTTTCCACATTAGTCAGGAACATTCTATTTAAGGGAACCTGCATTGAACCATTTTGAAAAGCAGTTGATTCTTTTATGGTGTCATTAATTATTCCCTCTTGTGTCTATGGGGCCCATGAACATAAACCTATGGGGAAAAGTTGATAAAGTCATCTTGAGAACTTGGACTGATGATGTTGTCTCCCTCTGTAGTGGAGAATGGATTTGCACATTTTGCAGAGATCTTGGGAAACCTGAAGTTGAATATGATTGTGACAATTTGCAACACAGCAAGAAGGGGAAAACTGCACAGGGCTTAAGCCCCATGGACCAAAGGGTGAGTGCCAAATAGTTGGTTTCTCATTATGACTTTGATGTGATCTACCTACTTGGCACTTTTTGGTAATGAACCTTCAGCTCACACAATTTTCACTAAAGGGCTAGTCTTGAATTTGGAAACTAGAAGTATTAGTTGGAATGGTTTAATTTACATGAAGTCTCTTGTGTCAGTGTTTCTAGTAAGCAGCTAGTATTTGAAGATAGAAGGTAATATTTAGTTTATATGATAGCCTGCTTTTTGAAGAAATATTTGATCTCTTAGCCATAGTAAAGTGGATTTCATTTGAGGATATTAGTTATCTTAAGTAGTGAATTGTGAGGATAATTCCCAAAGAATTTGCCTTTCAGCTGGGTACTAAGAAGAAAATTTCTGGCCCCTCAAGATAGTAAGAAATCCATATGCAAGAATTTTATATTAATTCTCATGAGACAGTATGACTGTCTTAGTATCTTAGTAATCTATGTATAGTTAGTTTATAGCAAATTTTTTTATCCCAAATTGATGGTTTTCGGTCACTGAGCATGCTGCCTTCTGCTGATATGCTGTGTGTTCATTTTAATATTCGCTGTAGCGTATCATAGAAGGTAAAAGAATTGGTTGCATCCTCCCGCCCAAAATAAAGTGTCCTGCAAAGTCCATTATTGAGCGGTTAAGGAGTTGTTCTTGGTTCCCTTCCATTTGTTTATTAGTTAACCAAAAGTTGACTTAGAAATATGTCTTGAGATGCCATAGGCATATACTTTTAGCAGCATCCTTTAAGAGAGTTAGTTTCACTTCATAGCCTTTTATTTTCTATCCGATCTGTCTTTTGAAGAACGCATTGTGGTTTGGCAGAAAGAATACTGGATTTGGATTCAGAGCACATGGGTTCAAATTTAAGCTCTTCTTAAAGAGTACCTGTGTGAGTTTAGACAGTTCACTTCATGGTTTCCTCATGTGTAAAATGATGGGGTTGAATTAAATGATCTCTTAATTCCATCCAAATCTAAGTTCTCAGTTTATGTCGGATGACCTGGAGATTAAAGACCATCGTTTAGATCCTTACTCATACTAATTCTGATGGGAAATGAGGTAGATTTCCTTGAATGCACAAACTATTCTTAAAAACAGCTTATGAAAAGTGGATTAAGATTGTTCAAATTCTAAAGAATATCTTATTAGAGGAAAAAGATAATTCACAAGTTTTCTTTCTGTACCTTTTTTACGGGGGAGCCAGAAATGTGAACGTCTACTGCTTTACCTCTATTGCCATGAACTGAGTATTGAATTCCAGGAACCAGTCCCTGTTTCGGTGAGTTGTCTATTTTTAATTCTCAGTTTTGATGAGCTGTTCTTAAAAGGACAAAGATTTTATTTAGAGTTTATAATTTTGGCAGAATGACAATGAAATTCGTCTATTAAAACTTCATGTGTGTGGTATTCAGGCTCGTATTCATGTAATTTTTTTTTTAAATTGAATTCAAATTCAGAAGTTATGAAAATCCTAGGAAGACTAGTTCACAGGGAAGATCATTGGATTGAAAGTCATGTAGTCTGGGTCCTGGCCATAGCTTTGCCTTTAATAGCAAAACTATGTAACTTCTCTGTGCCTCAGTATAAATAAGAGGGTTAGACTAGTGATCCCGTGAGCTCCTTTTCAGCTCTCCCATTCTGTTTCTAGGTGTTGAACTTGAAAAGAAACTAGGCTAATAAAATTGAATTACCAACACTACCCCTGCTGATTGTTTGGACTGCTCCCAGAAATACCATACTGAGGACATTGATCATGAAAGAAATAATAACTGTGGGAGATTTTGAAGGTTCATTTTGTTTCGTCTTTAAAAATAAAAAGATTCTTTTATATGAGATAAAAGTTTTATAATCCTATTAGTTTCAGACCAAGGGTGTTCACTGTAGTACAGCTAGGGTTATATTGCTCTGGATTCTTGCATAAAAGAAAGAAAAAACCATTATCCGTCAATTAATGAGTGGAATTACAGGCTAGCAAAAAGACTACCAGGCCAGAAATAGGGGTTGGGTGACCTGAGTTCCAGTCCACAACTACTGTTGTCGCTTACTTTAAGATTTGGTTTTCTTATCTGTAAAACTCAGATTGAAATACCTTTAAGGTCTTTTCAAATTCTAAAATTCTATGTTGGCTACAAATTGTTGATTATTGCACAATTGTGTGATGCTAAAGTTTTTCTTAAATTCTTGAATTTAATATGAGAGGGGAAAAAAGTAAAGTCATAAAAATTAAGCCTAGGAGAAGTCACACAGAGGAGGTTTTTGTTCCTTGTAAACAATAATATTCCCATGATTTCCAGATGGTATGAAAGTGCTGCTTTGCAGTGTATGGATGCTGTAGAAGAAGATAGTGATTTTATTTCTTTTTTGGTGACTGTCCTATTTAAACAGTTTATTTCTGTTAAATTATTAAATACTAGAGTAGCAAATTTGACCAAAGGTAGAGACCAGAATTTGTAAGTGTTATTGACAAAGAACCATAGAAAATTAATTAAGTTTAGCAAATACAGATTTCTGTTATTTCTATGAAAATGTTTTCCTCTTTTACTGGTTGGAGCATCTTCATATGAACATGTTGCCGTCAGTATGATTTGTAATGGCAATCTCTTCCTTCACACTTGCTCAGGCTTTATCCGTTGCTTTCATGAGCCATTTGTGATCCTTGATCAGCAGGTTGTCTTATATTTGTTGCTTATATATATTGACATAAAGTATATAATACCTAGGTGTTGAGTGACTCTTAAACCACAAAGAGCTCATTCTATCAGGGATTTGCCATATACTCATTACAAGAGTGTCTTTGTTGATTGGATTAAAGTGGAAGAGTTTTAAAACATTTGTCTTCGAGACTGAAATTTCCTAACTGAATAGCACATCTTTTCAGTCTTTGAATAGCATAATATGACCAGGGAATTATTTAATTCTATTTCTCTCTTTTTTTTTCCCCCCAGATACCAAACTACTATAAAATTATAAAGAAACCAATGGATTTATCCACAGTGAAAAAGAAGCTTCAAAAGAAACATTCCCAACACTACCAAATCCCTGATGACTTTGTGGCAGACGTCCGGTTGATCTTCAAGAACTGTGAAAGGTTTAATGAAGTATGTTAGCTTCCAAGATGTAGAACCTTAGGTTTTTCAAAAAGTTCTTTCAAACTCAGAAAGACAATCAGTTTTTAAAGTTTTAAAATATGCTTCATTAGAACTAATAAGTGGATGTTTCACCGTTTCTAAATAAGAAAAAGATTTCCTGATTAGTTAAAGGTTTGGGGGTTTTTTTTGTTTACTTGTTTGTTATGTTACCAGAGTCCAAAGGTAGTCAATGTCTTCTGATGACTTTTTCAAATCCATGGAAGACATTGAGAAAGTAAGACTTCTAAGTAACCTACTTTAAGTAGAAATTCAGAAAGATCCCTGACATAGCTGAAATTATCTGTGCTTATGTAATTAGGTTTTAGTCATTTTCAGACTTGCTCACAGAGCACAAGTAAGTCTACCCTTGATGTGCAATATTTTGTCTTCCCTGGCTGCAGACTAAGAGTAGAACATTGATACTGAATTTTCTGGGCCGGCATTGCAGCTCTGCTGAGAACTTATTACTTTATTAGGCCTTTTATGAAAAGAAAAAAGGTTATCTTTCTAGTCCTGGAGAAAACATATGGTAGAGACCTCTGTCACTGAAACTAATTTTGTGTTGGCTGTGGAGAAAAATCAAGAGTCCTGTTCTCTTCAAGAAAGGCTTTATCAAGATGGGGATGGGATGGGGGAGTGGTAACAGATGGAGAGAGGGGCTCTATTTGGAAATATTCTTGTCCTCAGATTCCAGGACTGCTTCTAGCCTTGTTGGTTCTGGGTTCTCTGTGGTTCCATATGAGTCCCATTTAATGCCATGGAGATATATATACTTCTGCCTGTGGATTTTTATTTACCCACTACCTCAAACAAAAATGAGGAAATTTGAGAAGTAGATCTCTTGGTGTGACTGGGATCAAGGCAAAGGACAGTACTAAGATAATTGTAGTAAAATCTCTCTTGTTTGGAATAGAATTGGTAAAAAGAATGATTTAAAGTTTTTTGGGTTTTTTTTAAGAGTGAAGTTCTTTTACCTCCAGTATGCATAGTAACACGAACTAATGGCTGGCAAAATGATGCCAAAGAGGTCCTACTATACTTACTTAGTAAACAAAATAGTCCCTGATTAGCATGTTTTCTATATACAAGTGAATATTGCTAAAGTGATTTTTTGTAAAAGGGCTGGAAAATAGTTTTCTTAAGCAGGTTAATCATTTCTCCTATAACCTTAGTCTTTGCTTTTTGGTCCCATTTTTCCTAGATAGTAGTGCACAGGTACTTCAGCTCAGCCCCTGCCCTAATTATTACAAATTCTGAATTAGTGGGGTTTAAAGTAATAAGGTTTTGCTGTGGATTTAGAAACAGAACCTAATGTACGTTCTGTTGAATTTTTTAAAGCAATTGATCAGTCACAGCAATCTGTTCTCCCTTTATGGCTGACTTTAGTCACCAACCCTATGCAGTCTCATAACTTTAGAAAGGATTATAATTTCCCTTTTTTTGACTCTGGTATCCTTTTTAGATGATGAAAGTTGTTCAAGTTTATGCAGAAACACAAGAGATTAATTTGAAGGTAAGCTTTTCAGACCATGCACACTTGGTGAAGGGACGTGCATTACCAATAGGTAAATGTTCCTATCTTTTGTTTGCAGGCTGATTCAGAAGTAGCACAGGCAGGGAAATCAGTTGCTTTGTACTTTGAAGATAAGCTCACAGAGATCTACTCAGACAGGACCTTCCCGCCTTTGCCAGAATTTGAGCAAGAAGAGGATGATGGTGAGATAACTGAGGACTCTGATGAAGACTTTATCCAGCCACGCCGAAAACGCCTAAAATCAGATGAGAGACCCGTACATATAAAGTAGAATGACACCATGGACCTAAATAACATTGTAAAAACTTAATTTAAGTGTTGCTGGAACATCCCGCCTACGGTTGGCCACCTCCTTGAAGAAGCTGGTAGCTTGCTTTTAGACAGTATTAGATTGAAAAATGTTTGGACGGAAAACACATTCTTGTCAAAAAGAGGGGACAGCTTTATTGCGGACATAAAAGAAAAACAGTTGATTTGAAGTTCCCTGTTCTTCCCGAAGAAGACGGGTGTCCGTGTTCTCACACTTAGAGACGGGCGAATATTGGTGATCATGTGTGGTTTAGATTGGTGTAGGATACTGGCTGTACAGGTAAATAATTTGAGTCATGTTGCTTGATAATTTTTCTCTTAGGACTGGACCAGCACAGTTACTAAATCAGATTATTCCCAGTACTGGGTTCTTGTCTAGTTAAAGTGAAAGTAGCATTACTCAAATTTTCCTCTAATATGGGCTCAACATTGAATCATGACTTTCAATCAATTAGTTTTTCTCATTTGAATGTTTTTGGGCCTAACTTTCTGTGTTAGTTCAGAAAACTAACTTGGTTCTCATAGCTAGATGCAGGAAATTCAACCTTCATTCACTTGTTGTTCAGCCTTCCCGGCCTACTGAATTAGTGAGCAGCAGCAGTGCTGGGGCCAGTAGGGTGAGCCTGAAAAAGAGATGGCAGTTCTTCAGTAGTGGATCATGTATATTTATAATAGAGTCCTATCCAGAAACACACCCCCACACAATTGCACTTCCCAGGTTAACTCATTTGATTGTATTGTTGCCCCCATGAAACAGGCAGAATGTTTGTTCCAAAATTAATTTAGTTTCATGTGCATTTAAATTTGAGTCTGAGAAGGTAACTACTGGCAGTCATCCAGTCTTCCTTCATATCAGTTTTCTGATAGACCACTATTGGCAAACAATAACCTGTCAACTACCAAATGTGTAAAATTTCCTGTATTTCACTTTGTCTTATTTGTAAATAGTGAACTGAAACTTCTGGCAGATCGGCAACATTTGCTGAGCCTGTTTTTTAAGCTAATGTGTATTCTTACTAATGTTCCTATCAAGAATGGATTTGTAATATATGCTGTCTATTTCTAACATCACATTCATATTTTGAGGTTCTATCTTATTTTAATAGAGAACAGACTTCTCAAAGCTTTCTTCAGAAACAGCTTGTGAATGAAATGTCTAAAAGATTATCACAAACCCGGTGGGGTTAGATTACTCGTCCGTCCACCAAGTGGGACATTTGCATAGCTCCCCACTGGGGACTTAAAGGCCGTGAAGAGGGTTGGGAGTCAGAGCCTGAAAATCAGCCGGTCCCCACTTGAATGGTATTTGGAGTATACCCACCTCTGCTACCCTGGTCGCAGCATTACTAAGCAGATAAATCAACTTTACTCTGGAATGGTTCGTTTTTGTTCTCTCCATTAGTAATGCTTAGATCCAAGACATGTGTAATTTAGCCCTTGTACAGGCTTTTCTTTTGTTAGGAAGAACATTTTAAAGTCCTACTTTTATTTGGACAAATTAGATCGAAATACAGTGGCCAAAATAAAAGAATGTGCTATTAGAGATTTTCTCAGACACAGCAGATTTGTGGCAAACCTTTTGCCTTTTTTTTTTTAATATACATTCAGCATGAGTAGTTCATACAGTATAGGCCATTCATAAAATAAAATTATTTGACTTAACTGTACTGTAGAAATAAATATTTTTAGCTCATTTTGAACCAACAAAAACACTCTAAAGAAATGCTTGTGCAAAATTCCTTTGGGTTGTTTCTTTTATTTACCAAGGGAAGAAAAACAAATAACCTTGAGGCCTTTCTAAAATATTAAAGAAAACAGAGTGGAGTCCATAAGTGCTAGTTTGACTCACTTCACTGTATGATCTTAAATTCCAGACCTTCCTGTAAATTGAATTACAAAAGAAGCATTAAAATATTTTAGAATTTCACTCAAGTTTGCAGAGAACAGTTTTTCCCCAAAAGTAGCTACCTTTTTCACTTGAAAGAATTTTTCTCTTCCTCTGAGTCCTCCACCCCTCCTTTCCCTTCTACCTGCTCCCTTCTTTATCACTTTAAAATGAGTGGAAAAACACATTTGCTGGAAGACCTTTTAGGTCAGGAGGGTGACCAGTTCCCTTTTAGGGAGGGCAGGGGTGCTTTGAGTCCTGACAGGGGCTGTACCTTTGCTTTCTCTTTCGTGGTTCTTCATTATTGTCCCATCAGCACAATCTGTCTTTTTAGAAAAGAGGGAATTAGCAGTTTTATATTCTGTTTGTTTTCCAGTATTTGTATCTTTGGGGAGGGGGATAGAGATGAGAAAAGTTTGGTTCTTAAAGACCATGTTAGAAATTCTTCAAATCATTTGGAATTTGATGTGCAGAAAACCTTATTGCTTCTCCAGCAGCCATTCACAGTTGAGCAAATAAACTGAAGGTCACAAGTATTCGCTTTGGACTTAGTTGAACTTTTCCCTTACATACTATACAGAATATAAGCTCTGATAAGAAGGGTATTTCATTTGAGTATCCCATGTTATACTGTGGCCAGTAGCATTGGACCTTGTTAATATAAATTCTCTTGGTAGCCAGAAATTTTGCATATTTTCCAATTAAGTTGCAGTGAAGACCAACTTTGAACATAGAATAACAATGGCGGATATTGGGGGTTATTTTGGTTTATTTTGGAAGCCTCATGTCCTTGTCTTTCTCAGGAGTTTCAGTATTTGCATATTTGCATATTTCTTTGTAATAGCAATTCCTGAACAAGTCTCATTTGTACAATGCTTAGGTTCTTTCCCATGATACCTACCCTCAACCCCTTCCCAAACCAAAACAAAACCACGGATGTTAAAGTAAAAAAACCCTTTCCTGATCTGTGATCACTTTAATGTTTGTGTGGTTCATAGCACCTGGCCCAGTGTATTCATTGCTATGAAGGGATGACTTTACATGGTGAATACATGTAGAGGGAGTTTCTGAGCTTTTAGCTTTAGAACATGCCGTGCTTGGAATAAACCTTCAAGCTATCATCACAGAGTATGAAGGGCCTGATGCTGAGATGGTTTTTATTGGTGTTCTACTTTATGATGTAAAATGTCTGGATGGCCAAATGATGTAAGGTGTCTAATTCTGATAACTTGTTTAAAGAAATACTTTTTTGAACAAAATCATATCTCATTTTTGGTTGTAACTGGCCCTGAGATTTTTTTTTTAAGTTAATCCAAAGAAGTAAAGGCAGTTTGTTCTGAAACAGATGTGAAAAGTGTATAGTGTGCTAATTGTGGACTGATCAATTACCTCAGCAGGTATCCTGCCTTGTAATTACTAGTGATTAGTGTTAACCAGCTAAATAGATTCAGGTCTCCTGACTGTGCCCTGGGACTGTGGCCTACCACGTACTATGAAGGCTGTGTTCCTATCCAAAAAAGGGGTGCGTGACCACCTCCCTCATTCCCTTTTCTCCCTGGCCTCCTGTTCCCTCTTTTTTTTTTTAATCCCCCATCCCATATACACTTTTAACAAGCAGACATGCTCTGTAAGTGTAGATAGCTTATTTCTTGTCAAAGCTGGCATTCAGCACCTCTTGCTGTCAACATCATTAACATTGGATCAATGAAATATTTTATAAAGTTTTTATCCCTTTATGATCAGAAAATCCACACCTGTGCTTGTCATAGAACATTTATTAACTAATCTACTGAAGTTTAGGTAACAGCAGCAGCGTTCCCAATTACAGTACATTATAACAGCATTCTGGACACAGACTCCTCCATTTATTTCCCTCCCAATTGTCTCCTCCTTGAAAAGCAATAAAACTGCTTTAAGTCTGTTGCCTAATTGCATGACATGAATCCTTTCCTTTGGACAGTGATTTTTTAGGAAAGTTTGTATGCATATCACCAGGACTAGCTTTTAAAAAATAAAAATATAAATGGGCAGGAGTTACTGATGATATATTGTGGCATTTTATTTTAAAAATTGGGGAAAGTTACATATTTTTTTAAAAGTAGGTGTTTGAGTAAATAATGGAGGTACTTTTTTTAAGAAATAAATTTATATGCCACAGTTTACATAGACATATTTCAGACTTCACATATATACACTTGGATATGGCAGTTTCTTTTACTTTGTTAAAAATGCATGTACAGAAATTCTTCCACCTTAGTTCCTTGTGGTTGCCGACTTGTTCCTTTATAATAATGCTTTTTATTGTATCTGAGAATCAGTAGTTTTCAAAAAGTACAGTTAATTTGGATATCTTTAACATAACTGTTGAACTACAAAATGTTCAGAAATTCAGTTTTACCCTTTTTCTAGCAAGTAATCTTTACAATTGAAGACTGTTCTTTTGAATTAGCTGGATTTCTACATGGTAAGGCACTAAAAGCGTTTTGTAAGTGCCTTTGCAGCATTCCCTTTTGAGTGTGACCTAAATTTAAAACATAAAAAGAAATGCATGTCTGCTACTGGTCTGAAAAATGTAGGCATTTATTATGTTGAAAACACAATGAAACATGTATATAAGCCTATAAAAAGATTTGTGCAATTGAAAGCCTGTTAATTTTTTTAGGTAGATGAAATAACTACACATGAAAGGGTTAAATTCACAGCATTCTTAATGATGGTTTTTGCTCCCAGTATTTACTGGTACTTTTTTTTTGCACATAGTTAACTTGACTCATCCTTCAATATGATTCTTCAAAAAAAAGTACTGTTTCTGTGGTATGGTATTCTCTAAATAATCATATTTAATTTTTTAATGAGGTTACAGTTCCTAATTGTTCCGTTCCTGTGTTTTTTGCTGGTGTGTAATAAAGGCAAGTTTTTTCTTTTCATGGTTATTTAATACATTAGCAGCCTGTAAATATTTCTTGTTTAAAATGCTCTGGAATGTGTTGTAGAAGTTGTATTAGATCAGTTAAAAGCATTGTTTAAGAACCACTTTGTTTTGGTTATTTCTATTAAATTAGAAAAATGAAAAAGTTTTCAAATCGAGTTCACTTTTCTTCTTTTAATCCTCTATGAATTAGATATATGATGCTTTCTTTCCTGAGCGTCCATCATGATTATTTGAATTCTGAAATTTTGTGTTTTTGAACTTAACAAACAGTTTAGATCCAGGGGTAATAATACCTGGAATCCAAATATGACTTTAAAATTAATTAATAATATATCTGAATGTGGACCCTGTGAGAAAGAAGAGTCAGATGTTGCTGCTTCCCCTTTTTAGGACAAGGAGACAAGGGTTTAGTTGACTTGCCAAAGTGGCAGTCAGGAGGATGCACGAGTGCTCTTAAATCCCATAACGTTGTAAGAGGATGGATCTGTCCTGTATTAATTCCCTGGTCCTTGGAGTAGCAGAGTAAGCACCTCTTTTAAATTGTAGTAGTTTTCAAGAACAAATGGCCACATAACGTATTTTGAGGAAAGAATAAAAAACTGAATCATTTTGATACAAGCTCCTTTTTTTCCCATTTATTCCATTATCCATGAGGTTATCACATGCTTCATTTTCAGATAGTGGTGTTTGGTTCTTTTGGCCACACCCACATATGGCCAGCTTCTGGGTAGGCTTTAGTTTCCAACAGCTTCAGTTCCTGCTTGGTTCAGAGCCTTTGTCCCAGAAGCCATTCCTTAAAACTACTTGGAAAGTAGTTCTGTTTTTCTTCTCTGTCTGCTGTGCTTTTGCCAGCGCTCTACAGCTGTATCATGTTTTCAAATAATTCATGATACTAACTTGTTATGTATAAGCTTCCTATTACTGTTCTCTTGTGTAGAAGAAATATAATCAGTAAACCTACTTAATGATAGCTTATGCTATATAGTGCTTTTATCTTCTTTGATCTATTGTCTTTGGTCCTTAGAACAGCCCTGTGAATAAATAGTACAGTTATTGTCCCATTATACATATAAGAACATTCTCAGAGCCATGATTTGTAAATTTCTTAGTATGCCAAATTTTGAACTAGCTCAAATATCGTAAGAAACAGCTATTATATTCTGAGTAGAGAGTTGCAGGTGCCTACTTTTTCCTGATGGGTAGTATGCTTGTAGGATTTACAGCTGGAACATGCTTTTCAGAGTCATTAGCCCCAACCACTTATTTTTACAGATGAAGAAATTTAGTCCCAGAGAAGGGTAAAGTGAGTTTCTCAAGGTCCCACATAGCAGATTGATAGAGCCAAGATTCAAACCCCAAGCTGATTTGAAATTAAATCAAGAGTTTTTGTGTTTCAGGCATAGCAAGAAATTTAATTGTCCCACTGTTAAAAATGGACACTTGAGTGGATAGCCCAAGTCACCTACTTACTCTCCCCACTTTGTTCTAGAAATGGCATGGTTTCTAGATTGAAAGGATGTGGCAGGCTTACTACTCTTTATACTGTTAACCCACCAGCTTTAACTCACTAGCTGTTCACAGGGAGCAGTGAGGGATTAAGGGTCTTCCTTATAATTCAACATTTAAATGTCTACTCTGTTCAGAAGGTGCCATTCTTTGGGAAGAAATACAGATACAATCCTTGTTTTCAAGAAGGCTGTATTTCAGTAGAGAAGAAGGCATGCAAATAACTGCAGTACAAGGTGCTAGATAGTGAGCGTCCTCTTAGGAAAGAGGCAGCTTCCTTTGCCACCGGTGTAGTGGATAAAAAAACTGTTCGCCTGAGTTAGGAAGGCCTGAGTTCGAGTTTTATCTTTAGCATTCCCTGTCCACATAACTGTAGGCGATTCATTTAACTTCTCAGGGCCCCCCAGGTAACTGTAAGATTGAATTGCAGAGAAGGTGCCAATCTACAGTGACAGAGGAAGGTTTGCATTGGACCTCCACATACCAGTGAAATCATCTTAGGTAAAAAATGGGGAAGGGTAGTGGGTGAGGGAAAGAGATCACCAGCTTTGTAATTAGAGATGAAAAAGCTGATTGAGGTGGACTTAAGCGATTTTTATTATCTGGTATGGGGCTAAAGAGGGAAGATATGGAAAGTGAAGAGATTAAGTTTCCTAAGAGTAAGTCTGCTTTGTCAGATTGACTGAAATATCTTCTGGCAACAAAATTTAAAATGTGATTTATCCTATTAGAGATAATGCCCAAGATGAGCCTTTACTTGGCAAGTGAAACTACTGCATAGGTAGATGGATAAAAGGAAGGTCTGAAGCCTGAGATTTCAGATTCTTGGAATATTTTTGGATTTAAAATCCCATGACCATATCAAGTCGTTTTTACCTTTCAAAAAGCAATCCCTCTCTGACAATGTCTTCAAACGCTACTAAACTCTAAAATAATTCCAAATCTCTAAAAATATTTTTCGATCATTATTATTAGTGTCAGCATGTGCTTATTTTAAGTCATGTCTACTCAGAGGAATTTTGATGCTAATTTTGAAATTGTATATGTTGCATTATTTATGCACTTATTGATTGGTTCCAATTAAACCCATGTATCAGAAGAAAACACTGTGCCCCAAATCAATATCCTGGTTTCTGTTATGGGACCTCAGACTTGGGTCAGACTGTCCCTGGAAGGCCCAATTTAAAGAGAGCACCAAAAAATCTGGGCTCTGAGAACAAGGATTCCCTGCCTCCAATGGCAGCAGTAACTATAATCACCGTTTATATGGCACTTGGAGGTACACAAATACTCAAACCAAACTGATTTTATTGACAACGGGTACCACAGATACTGATCCCAACCTGTTGATGACTTTGTGCCCGCTCTTATCTATATTCTCTCGTAATTTTGACTTGGATTAGTAAGTAAACCTACTATGCTTAGGGTCCTTTCCTCACTTTCTGTTGACATCCAGAGGAGCTGCCATGTGGATCGACCCCTCTTTTTTGACTCCCGTCTCTTTGGTATCCTTTATTCTGGTTCTCCTTTGTAATTCCTTGTTTGTAACAGGGGTTTACTCACACCCACCACCGTCTCTTCTTTACCTTTACCTGGTGTTGATTGATCAGCGGAATGCTGGTGTTTAAAAGGTGAGCCTTTGTTTCAGGGAGGAATTTGGGAATCAAAAGACTCCTCCCTTATGTATAGTTTGGGGCCCAACTCCTCCATTTAGTTTCTGTGCAGTGTATACACATGTACTAATGGATAAAGTCTACAGATTATCCACCTAACAATATGCATGACACTTTACAAATGAATCATCTCACAACAGTCCAGGAAGGAGGAAATGTGATTCACATAAAGAGCACTCATTACCTCTGTAGTTAGAGGATCTAGATTCACCCACCTCTCTTGGCAAAGTGACAGCTTATTTCCTTACCTGTAAAAGGAGGAGGTTGGATTAGATGGAGCCTGAGATTTCTCCTACTCTTTTCATAGATGAGGAAGCAGCTTTAGAGAGACCAAATACCTTGATTAGAACCTAGGTTTCTCATCTTCCAAATCTATCACAATTTCGACCCTACACCAAAGGGTCTTCTGTGCTTCCAGAAATGGGCATTTATAACACACAGTCCTATCCTTTTTGGATTTAAATTGAACGCCATATGGCAATGCTTCCACTTAAGACCTCTTAGACTATTAGAGCTAGGAGGGACCATCTAGTTCAACCCCCTGTTATTTTATGGTTGAGGAAACAGGCCCAGGAAATTTTGGGGACTCACCTAAGGTCACTCGGCTATTAAATGAAAGAACCAGGACTTGCTAGTTCTGACTCTAAATTCAGTGCTCTTTCTGTAAGACTATGATCTGAGATCATTCTAATTGACTTTAATTAACTAAGATCACAAGGGGCCCAGAATGACATTTATCTGACCCTGGTTCCTGAAACTCCTAGAAAAATTGTGATGTCTAAGGAGAAAGGAGGAGGAAGTGTACCTCAGGCCCACTGGGGTCTTCAAGACCAAAGCTACTTCATTCCTTGTCCTTCCTGATCCATCATATTGCATGGCTCCATTGCTTCAGATGCTGAGCTGATTTTCTGAACTCCGCTCCTTCTGTTCCCATCTGCTTTACCTTCTTTAGTGATGTTGCTCTATCTGCCAGCCTGCCTTCTACTGAAGTCTTTTCATGGTTTCCCACCCACTTTCCTAAGAAGCTCTACCCCTAACCCCTGCTCCTACTCCCTCACCAGAAACTTCAGCCCAGGACTTCATTCTCATCTCTTTATTCGTTTTGGCCCAATCCTTTCCACAGGAATTCTCTACACCCACTTTCCTGGAATCCAGTATATCTCCTTTGCTGGATCTGTGGCACCATTGTCAAGCACCTGGTCTTAGAAACTAGAAGGGCTCTTAGGGGTAAAGAGATGGAATAATTCTTATGCCCACATGTAGTTCCTGATTCTAATTCACTTCACTTCAACTACTCAGGCTAAGAAAGGGGTTACATACTGAATTTCCTGACTGCTAGGATGATGTGCCCATCCAATAGATGGGAAGACAGACTCAGGTACCCCATATTAGATACTTCTGAATGGTTGTCCCATTACCAGAATCACTGGAACCGTGAACCAAGAAGATGCTGAGTAAGATTGTCAGAAGAAACTCATTCAACATATTTAAATATTTTTGTTGGTATTTTTTTTAATATCACTTTCATCTCCAAAGGTAACCTTCCCCCATGTCCCCCACCCAGTAAGCCATATCTTGTAACAGAATGAAAAAGAAAAGAGGGAAATCAGGTCAACAAAACTATTAACAATAGTAGCATGTCACACTTCAAGGAGTGCAAATTATTTTGTGCATTATTTCACTTGATCCTCACAACAACCCTATGATTTAGGTATTTGTGTTATCCCCAGTTTGCAGGTGAGGCTAAGAAAAGTTGAGTGACTTTGGTCACATAGCTAGTGTCCAAAGCAGGGTATGGACTCAGTTCTTCCTAACTCCAAATGCAGCACAAAGTGATTGTCCTAAGCCTTTCATTTTGTGTAGGAAGAGCAAACAGAACTTGATATACTTGCCTTCTTTCTTTATATCATGAAATTTCCAAGGACTTTTCATTCATGCTTATGCAAATGAGCATGTAATAGTCACTTGTGGA